GAGTGGCCAAAAACATTGTTCTTGAAGGGATACTCATCAAGTGTGTGACAATTTTTATTTCGTGTTTGTCGCTTACTGTTAACCGTAACATAACATATAACTTGATAGCAGCATTTAAAAAAAAAAGGATGACGGTAATAGAAGTGGGGGTGGTGCCCGGTTTCTGGAACAGCTTAGCAAAGATAGGTGCACACGGCTGTTCATCGAGTGCATGCACATATTCTCATTCATTTGGTCGCTGTGCTTCATTGTACAGCGCTTATTGACTCACTAGTTGCTTGCGCTTTTAACTTTTAAAAATGGGTGGTCATACACAGCTTAAAAAGTCACACTTGCTGCACATGGCCAAAGTAATGAATGCGATAGCTACAAATGGCAATGTTATACAAAGTGAGGCTGGCAACTAAATCTTTTGGATCCAATCTCACGTAACTCTACAAAACACTGGTGTAAGTGAATACGGCCACTTCAGGGAGAGCAACACTTTTCGCAGTCTTTTCCCGGCGAGAGTGCAGCACGTAAAAGTGTATGCAAGCCGCTCGCTAATGGCTGCCAAGGTAGCGTGCGTGCTAGCCATTTCAACAACATCCTTAGCAGCAAAGGTCACAGTTGCTGCTCGAGTGACACCCCATCCCTCCCCTCCCTTGCTTCTTTTCATGCTTTTTCAAAATGAGAAGAGTGCTTCCTCTCTGCTTCAACAACAGGCCTGCCGATTGGGAAAATGTTATCGCATGCGCCCTCTGAGCGACAGTGAAGTGATGAGCCGGCTCGTTTGATCTCTGCTTCAGCCGCGTTCGTCGTCTCGCTTGTGTGCTTTTACCTATGGGTAGAACATAAGATGCTTGGGATATGTTATTAATTTGAACTTTATACGGGGAATGACGACAAAAACTCGCCATGAATGTCTATATATAAATATTAGCATAATAGCCTATGCCCCAATTCAGCCAAGTGTTTCAAAATGAAGCATTGTACAAATGTTGCTTTACAAATGCTGTCTAATGGGGCTACATATGCTCCGAATCTTTTACTGCTCTAAACTTGCTCGAAAAGGCCCTTCTGGCTGCTCCAAGCCTGCTCCAAAATGTCTTTCCAGATGCTCCAAGCCTGCTACAAAAGGCACTTTTGCCTGCTCCCAGGACTGCTCCCAAACCCATGTACCCTATTCCACCCCAGCCAATAATAAACATGAATGTATAGATAAGAAATTGTATGAACTGGATGCATCGACAAGGTTCTTCTGCTTGTCCATAAAAATAATAAGAATCTCAGACCATTTCATTACATAACTTGCACAGTTCATCTAGTCACAAAAATAATAAGAATAAATATTGTTTAAGAAATGTGCTGTGCTATAGATGTCAAATAAAACGTGAACAGCGGCAAGCATAAGCGATGTTATAGTGTGTTGTCCTAGTTATCACCATTGACAGATGCGCACATCTGATTTGGCAGCACTTCACGATCTCTCTATAGTGTGATATTTCGACTTATGTACCGATTCTTGTATCTTGAAGAAAGTAAATAAAAATAAAAAAATTATGCTGTATTTTCGTGCTTTTCTGGCAAAGGACGTCAAAAGATGGTAATTTTTTTTTCTATAGAGAGAGAGAAAGAATTAAATGTTTGACGTTCTGCATGGGGAAATGAGTGAGTAGGTTTTGCGTGAGATGTAGACGCTATCTGGCACTAATTTGAAGAGACAGAGTTTTGCTAGAATGCAAAGCTACTGGTAGGTGGCAGCACCGTGTAGTTTTAGTGAAGCGTAGGAAACACCCGCTTTTTTGTTCAGAGCATCACATTGTCAGCGCAGCGTGATAAGCAATGCGATCTTTAGAATTGAGTATCTATGCATTTTAAAAAAAACATTGACACACTACCTAATACTCATGTGTTCATGTTGCGTCCAAATAAGCATAATATTTGCTTTTTGATTGACAATGTTCGCTAGTATGAACGCAACCAGATCAAGATGGGTGGTCATTCAGAAAGGAGTTAAACTTTCGCTCTAGTGGCTGAATCGAGTGACAGACAGAAACAGGAAGACAAACAGGCAGACCAAATTTTCACGTCGAAATATTCCAAGAAAGACTATCGTCTTTGATAAATGGCCGGTATAGGCGCTATTCATTACCATGTCAGTCACTATTATCATAATATCAGACTAGAACAGAAGTGAAAATATCGCACAGTAGTGGGGTGGAACAGTGCTGCCAATTCTCATGTGCAGACCTGTCAATGGTGATGACTAGAGGCCGGATTTATAGGCACTAAAAACCGGGTTTTAGGTGTCGTAACTAGGCAGACAAAATGCAGTTTTAAGCCCCAAAAACCAAAATTATAGGTACAATAAATTTTTGTGAAAGTTCAGATTTCCCAAGAGCTATGTCCGGACTGTGTCTACGACAGGAAAGCAAAAACGTTTTAGTAAAGGCGCCAATGGTTTAGCATGAGCATGCATTTTTTCCCCCCACATGGTTTGCAGATGATTGTACGTATCTTCTTTTATTGTCCAGCATGGTTAGTTAAGTGTCCACTGTTGAATAAACATGCTCCTGGGTCTCTTTCTTTTCGGCACGACTGAGAAGGGTCGCACAGGAGCAAATAGCCAGACCGCTAATTGGCCAGAATAGTCTTTTAGCCTCGAATTAACCGCGTCTCATCACACAGGGTCAATTTTTTTCTCTCTCTGTCAACACATTAAAGGGCCTTTCACCAGGTTTGAACGTTTTGAGCAGGCAAGAGAAACGCATTCACTGGGCGCTCACGATCTCATCCACCGAGATTTACACTGCTACACACCCTGAAAGAGGTAAAGTGTCAGACTGATAGACTTGCGCTTCTACGCACCCCAGAAAGAGTTGAAATGTTAGACTGAATGCCACTTGCCCTTTATCTAACATGCGCACGCCCCAACATGATGGAGTTGATGTATACAACAAGGAATAGTCCTGCATACGACAAAGTAGTACATGACACTGCGAGAATTTTTCAAAGCGACATGTATAGTTTGTGCAATCTGTTGCTTGATTAGAAATATACTGGATAACAGAAATATTAAAATATAAAAACGGAATCTGTGTGCGTTATTTATTTTTTTAAACTTCGTATCGAGCGAAATGAGAGACTAACTCGCCATTCTCGCATTGTGCCCGTGCCAGCCCTGACAATGCTTGGAGCGTTTTTTAATGCATCGTCTCTTATATTAGTTCCAACGGTGCGACGCTGTGTTCGTGGTATGGATACATGATCTATGCCAGCCTCTCCGAGCATGCGCGTGCATAGAGGGATCCATCTCACAGAAACAGGCAGTATGTACTATGCATAGAACGCCGAAATGACACAACACGACTTGCGTGCATGTCTTAGCTTGGGCATTTCGTGTGAATGTAACCTTGCATGCAGATGACGTGTTGATGCGTCTGCGACATGTGATCTTTCGGCTCCTAGTTTCTCCGATACCGAAGAGGGCAGGAAAGTTAATTAGGCTTGTGAAGGCTACAATGAGCGAGTGGCAAAAATTTCAGCTCACCTCCTCACATGCTTTTGCCACTCATAATGAAACATTTTTTTTAAACATTTTGTGGTACAAAGCTCTTTATTGCGCACACAATTTTTAGTGTCCAACTAAAATTTCTCGTGTGACCTGGTAAATCGCCCTTTATGAAGTAAATGACAAACAAAACAAAAATCATGTGGACATCTGATTTTTTTTTAATCTACACTCCACTTTCACTTGATGACACTTCATGGTTTCGCATTCGTTCTCCATTGTCCTGTGGCTGCACAGATGGACTTCCTGCTTCCTATGTGTGCGAGCAGACGCCGAGCAGATGACACGACGTGATGCGAATAAATATATGTATAGAGGCTAATCAGCCTTTCTATTGGCCACGGAGCCTTGTAGCCTTGACACCGCTGAAAGGAACTTCTGAGATGGAGTATAGGTTGCTCCCCATAGAGTTTCTAAAGCTCAATCTTTCCTCGTAACATAAATACCGGTCTTCAACTCTACTCGAAATCAAAATATGAGGTTGAATAGTGTTCATGTCATCATCACCATCATTTATTTATCCTTAACAGCCCCTCATGGGACATTACATGGGGGGGTCTAACAATAAATAACTCCGGGTCACAAGGAGGTGCCATATAAATACTGCTTTGAAAAACAATGCAAAAATCACAAGAAAAAACAAGAAGCAAAAAAGAAAGACAACATTAAAATTGGAAGGCAGATAAATGCACAAAGAACACATCTGCTATTCAGCATGCTGACATTAATGCTGTAACAATAAATCTTTAAATTTAACATAACCTCTTTTGCTAACAATATCGTCAGGAAGTGCATTCAAATCCTATATGGCAATCGGTAGAAATGATTTGTTGAAGGCTTTAGTTGAACCACAAATGTGTTGAGCAGTGTGACAAACAGACGCTAAGATGGTCTTATGGGTCGTACGAAAGTAGAATGAAAGGATAGGCGACTCAGACTGTGAGCACGTTTAATCCTACTTATTCGAAATACGGAAAAACAGCGAATTCGAACTTCTACAATGATTCTCAGCATCATTGCATTGCCTGAAAGTACTTTAACATCTGAGGCAAGTTTATCAATACTTGAGTCGGCTGCAGAGCTTTGGCTGCTTAACCGATTTATATGTGCTATTTTTTCCAGAGCAAGATTGGAAATTGACTCCTCAACATTTTACTGAGTAGCGCAAGTTCGCCTAACCCAGTATTTTCAAGCTTTCAACGCGAGATATGGCTACAACGATAGAATCAAGGGAAGGCTGACAAGTACTATTTCCTTTGGGTCCTGGATCCAATTCAACGTCCTCTGCTAATACTAGCAGAAGGCAAACGACATAGGCATTGATACACTGGTAGCAAGTAATCGACAATGTTTTCCGGAACCAATCAATGGCATAAATGGGGCATGACACTGCAAGCAGAAAGGCATTGTCGGAGCCAATGCAAGTCGAATTCGGCAAGTAACAAACCTGCACGAGGAAGAAGGGCATTTTCGTGACCAGCATAAGTGCGGTGGCGTGCTTCAAGTTCTTGTAGGGCGTAGGCAGTATTTATAGTCCCTCCGATGCAGCTGCACAGAACGTTGCACTTGGATTCCAGTTGAGAAACGATCAGGGGTTGAAGGCAGCAAGTAAGGTGCGGCATTGCTTGCGTTGACCGAGCCGGTGGGTTGTCGCCAATGTCCCGTTGGAAGACCAGGTCGCACCCGCTGTCCCGGAAGCACAAGGGCATTGATGCAGTGATCCTTATTAGGGCAGCCTGCATGAAGAAGAAGGACATTTTGTGACCAGCATATAGGTGCAGTGGCGTGCCCCCATATGAGCACGAATTTTGCTAATAGGGAATTTATAGGCACTTATAAGAACTTAGGCTCAAACGTCGAAAATAGGCATTTATGAGCACTATAAAAACACTCTAAAAGCCCTTTTTAACCTCTAACTTATGCTCACATATCAAAATGGCACAATAGAAACGCAAGAAGCAGAATAGGCATTTGCCTGTAATCCAGTCTAGTGATGACTGAACCACGTACACTGTACCATTACTAATACTTGCCGTTGTATTCGTTTGATTTTACACCAATAGCACTATACTGCATTCAGATTATAGGCCAGTGCGTCTTGTTCCTTCATCTATCCTTGTCCACAACAGATTATGTTTATTCACATATTGCCGCAGTGTATTTCTGAATAACTGTTTGCGGTTCGTATTTGATGTCACTGTGATTGGACTACTCAAAAGGCATTGTCTAGCCTTGTCATCCAGCCATAAAAAGAGACATCATCGTTTACGCAATGCAATAGCTTTGCAAGTTTTTGTGTACTTCGAATACACGGGTTTCGAAATTCACACACTAACAAAACCTGCTTGGCCTCAAGAATGCTGGTCGTGATTGCGGAACATGCTGTTAACCTGGCCTTACTGGCACAATTTCACATGCATGCAGGTACATACAGCTTTCCCATCCCATGTGCAATAACATTATGCTCATCGGCATCATCCTGTGCCTGGTGTGTGTCTGCCTGCTTGGCCTGGACGGACAGTTTGTCAGCGAGTTCAGATATGCACACATCTGCCAGGTAGGATAGATTCGGTGTTGTTTGCATATATAATCTAAAAGGTTGCTGGATTGTGTTGCAATGAATTTATTTGGTATTATTAGCCTGCTATACATGTGTAGCACCATTTGGGGAGTCTCTGTATTATGTAAAACTGCAAAACTCATAAAAGTGAAGAATGAAAACCAGACATGTCTAATATGTGGTTTGGTAGGAGTCATTTTAAAGTGCATACTATATCATTTAAGGAACCTTTGATTTTTTTCAATCTGTTTTCCTCAAGCTTAAGAGAGTGCCATAGGCCCACCTTTAGATAATATATATAGTAGTTTTGCAAAAAATATGAAGCATAAAGAGTGATTGGTGTAAAGCTGTCTGTTGCACAAAATGCTGCCTATTTGATTGCATGGCAGCATAAATGTTGCAGCGTTTACTTATTGTTACAAAACTGTACTTGATGACAGTAGCAGCAGCCTCAAGTTTTTATGTGCATTCATGCAGCTGCTAAAATTAACAGGTAGTTTTAGCACCTCTTGCTGGACATGTTATTAAATATATCATGCTTGTACAATTGGGCAGTCAGATGACACTGGCAGTAAGAATGCTTCTGTACCTTTCGTGAGGATATTAATGTCAACTGCCTATACTAACCATAAGATTTCTGAGCTGACGACCTGGCAAATTTGCTAACAGTCTTTCTATAAGTGCGCATGTAGCTAACGCCTGCAGGAAAATGACCATTCTTTGCTTTGCGGAAACCTCTGACCTCACAATTTCTTAGTTTTCTCAACTTAATTATGTTTCTGGCCTAATAAAATAATTCCTAGCATTTATAACATTTTTCTCAGAGCCTTGAACTTAGTATCGATAAGTGTACTTGTTTTTCTTTTTAAAAATTTTTATTTATCTGCTACTTTAGCGGCTAAAACTGCTCGACATGTTATAGCTCGGCTTTTTCATTCCTCAATGTTTTGGCACCTTCTCAAGCTTTCTCGGTTATTCGATCAGATTGCTTGCATAATATGAAGGGTTAAGTACATTCTGGACCTTATGCAAGCATCAGCGACAAAATTGAAATGTATGATAACACGTGTATAGAAGCCAATGCATTTTACTGAAGAGGTTCAATTTTTTACTGTGCTCAGTGCTATCACTGTACTTTGAGTGTTTTGGTTTGCCAAGCACAAGTTTGCTCTCTAAAGAGTTCACTCTTAGGTTTGGCTCCAAATCACAGCCTTGTGACAGTATGAAATAACTCGCCTATTACAATATTTTATAAACTTGCTAGCATGAGCTGGCACTCTTTGGTCACCACTGACCCTTGTGCCATAAAATACTATATATCATCATCATAAACTTGCTTTCAAGCAAGGCTGCAGTGTTTTATTTGTTTGTCCTATGTTTGTTTTGTTCTTCAGCAGCGGTGCACACACGCTTCATTCTATGTATGAAATGTAGTTACAAACTGTGAGCATCTACTGGGTGTAAACACTTCTTGAGCAACTGAAACTTTGTGCATGAAAAATAAACACGTGAAACTGGAAATGAAAAATGGAGCGGGGTTTTAAAGAGTGAAAAGTTGGGAGCTTACAATGTTGGCATAGTAGAAAACCTGCGTTAACAACTTCGCTTGTCATTCATTGCAGGCTCGTTCGTGGTTCCTGGCCATTGGGTTCACGCTGTCGTTTGGTGCTATGTTCTCCAAGATATGGAGAGTGCACCGTCTTACGACAAAGTCCAAGTCCGAAAGCAAGGTATCTTCTACGAGGAATTAAAAGATTTTTTCTGCCAAGTTCTATGGGACATTTGATGGTGCTGGCATAAACAAGAAATTTCATCACAAAAAAAGAAAAAAAGAAGAAAGAAAGGAAGAAAAGTTACGGGAGGAGAAAGAAATTTTAATTTTCTGTGAAGAGTTGCCTTTCGCTATTATTTGCAGGTAGCAGGTCTTTTTTTTTCATTAATAATTAAACTTCAATAGCCTAATTTAAGTTCCTGTGTTTTTTTTTACAGCAGGAACTTACTACTAGCAAAGACATATTTAATACTAACTTCAAGAAAGTGTAGCCATTTTAATAAAAAAGCTCAAAATATCAATACGGTTAAGGGTTAAAGATGCTTCCAGGTCTTGTACTTGGGACAAGAACAGCTTAAGGGTTAAAGATGCTTCCAAGTCTTGTACTTGGGACAAGAACAGCTATTGCTTGGCCTGCCACTGTATCATTGTGTATGGGGCACTTGTTAATGACGTGCAAAAGGGCACTACCCAGCAAGTGGCAGAAACCTTTTATTGCTTTCCCAACACTCAAAGAAACTCATGAGCAGCACAACTTAAATCTTTCGTTACCACACCTATTCAAATCGATCACCGGTGATCAATGCTTTGGGTCGTCGATTTTAGCATGTTGAATTTGTTTTTATCATACTGAGCACTTTCTAGTAGTTAGTCCAACGTTTCAACTTTCAGAATCAATTTGAATTTGCCTGTTTTGGCTACACAGCGATTTTTGACAGATCTTTGCGAGAACCAATGTGCTTGTGTTGGCAATATGCTCTTGACTGGCGAACTTGACAGAAGTGCATGCTCCTTGTGGTTATGCCACAATAACATCAAAGTTCTGTCATCAAATTAATATTTGCAAGTCAAATATCAAATCAAGGTGTCAGCTTCACAATCTGACAGTGTTGAGCTGTAATAATAGCCAGAAATTGAGGCCAGCTATTCAATGGAAGGTGGTGTTAGGTGCCAGGGAGAATTTATTCCTCAAAAAAATATTTCTGAAGGTTTGCCACATGTATGAAATGTGCAGGTGGCCTATCTAGCCAGTTTTCAGCAGCTTTGGTATTGCTTGTATGGTTATATCAGACACCAGGCTGCATCTAGTGTTACTAGTTGCTCCTATGGCATCGTCATCATGCTGACATGGGTGGGCACCTGTGCTGCAAAAAGCAGGCGCTGCTCAGAACTGTCTTGCAGCCACATCTGAATTGAGTGAGGACGAGCTTAGAGTCCGAGGTTGACAGCACCTCAGCTTCATGTTTTATGACAACGATGTTTTGCGTCAACCTGAGACATCCCCAGCCATTCACGGGTTTGTTTTGCTTACGGTCTCAAGTTGTCCCCTCCATCGCAACTGCATAGCTGCTGACCTTTGTGCACAATCTTATAGCTAGCTACTCTGGTTGCGTGCGAGGTCCACATGTCGCTGGGGCGCAGTGTGCTGGCGTTGGCTGTAAAGCTTCTCCTCACGACAAGAAGGCCACCAGAGCACATTTCGGCTTTGACTACGGAGCAGTGCGAAACATTTTAGACGTGCTTTTCTTTTTGCTATGATGTCAAAAAATGCAAAGAACTATGCTTGGATGCCCCTATTGGAGCGCCAACCTATGCAGAGTGAGGTGGCTCATAGAAAGAGGTGGTGCTAGACGAGCTAGTGAAGTTCATTGAACACCTGATTCATCAAGACATTGTTTACATCGCGGGAATTCACTTATATTCGAACACCTGCAGGCTCTTATTGTAAAAAACAAAAATTAATTGCTAAATGCGCATGAGTACACCTATGTCTCAAGAAAAATCAAGCAATGCTTTACCGCATGGCACGAGCATTGAAGCAGCACCTTGGTTCATATTTTCTTTTGCTATGTTAATAGAAACTTTAGGTACGACAATAATTTTTTTATACTGTTCCTGAGTCATTTATCTTTAAAATGTATATTCTTAATTTTTTTTGATATTTTTGCACATATAGTGTTTTTTATTGCACTGTGTACCAGTTGGCTGCCAAAAATTACTCACTTTTCACATCTTTATTAATGCTTAACTATTTTCGTTGCTTCACAACATATATTTTTTCAGAAAGAGCATTTCATTTTGCAAAATTTTTTATGCTGCGATGCGTGCTGCAGTACTTTTCAAACTGGCAAAAGATATTTTCCCGAGGCATATGAAAAATTGCCATTTTTACGCAGTAACGAAAATGTCAAGATATTACTTCATGTAACAATATTTATATAAATCTTGGTAAGCTTTTCTTACACATCAGTTCACTATATGGCCTTAAAATGGAATATATAACTCCCACTAACCACTTGAGGCTGCAGAATTGAGGCTATATCACAAAACGTAGACAGTTCTATGATATGGCCCCGATTCTGCACGTGGCCCCTGCATTATATGCACGAAATGTAAAAATCTTTTGTGCCATGCAGGGCCTGTCTTTCCAGCGCGTGGAGAGCTGGAAGCTGTATGGGATGGTGGGCGGCCTCGTGTTGGTGGATGCAGTGATCCTGTCTGCCTGGCAGCTGGTAGACCCCATGCAGCGCCACCTCGAAGTCTTTCCTCTTGAACCACCTGCCCTCTCTGATGAGGATGTTCGCATTGAGCCTGCCCTCGAGCACTGCGAGTCACGCAACCATGCCATCTGGCTCGGTGCGTATCATCTTGCATTAATCGCTGATGGTTTGCTATTTTGGTGCCTTAATTGTTGGCTGAGTGCAGCTGTCATGTCTTGTTTTATTTCTTTTGTTGCTGTGACTGCATGAAAAATAATTTTCTAGGCAAGTAGGTTTTCTCAAATGAGAGTACTTTTACCCTTGTCATACGGCCACCACTTTGTTTAACTTTATCAATGTAAAGCTTTGCTAGGTAGTTCGATGTAGTTAGAGTTGTATTAGTGTCACACGGCAATGACAAGGTTGCAATAATTGCTGCAAGAGGGCTCAGCTGGCGCTGTTTGACTTTCGCAGAAGTATCCCAATTTCATCTCTAGTTGCTTTTTTGTGAATCTTCGTTATGCAGTTTAAAAAAACAATATCAAGTATGTCTCAAGCAAAGAAATCATTAAAAATTATTTCATATGGAAACGCATTCGCTAAATGTAGTAATGCTGGCAGCGAGCGGGCCACCTTGTGCCTAACACTATGTTTGTTTGCAATTGCGCTGTGCTCGACGACTACCTAGTTGTTTTTGTAACCCATGTACGAAAGTCCTTGTGTTTCCTTTTCTCGTGAGCGCACTCCAAGTTACCCTTGAATTAGGTCGGGTTCCATTACCCATTCCTGTGGCCGTCGAAGCAAGTGACAATGATGCTGCCCTCTTAGTCATTCCTCTCTTGGGCACACGCAAACACGGCAACGACAACGACCACCCACATAGATGAGATACTTTTGAATGGCGGAGCCCGGCCCGACTCGCGAGGCGCGGTGTGGAGGGCACCAGTGTGGAGAGGAGCTGCACTCTGGCAGGCGTATATATATGTATAGAAACATACGTTATGAATGAGTACTGCAACAAAAGAATGTTTAATATTGCCAAAATGTATTATTGCTGTCACTGTGGCAATTTACTGCCAAACTTTTTTTCTGACCTGCAGCTACTGGGAACGAGCATACCTTGTTCCGCTGCAAAGGGAGATCGTCGAACGTCCTTTGCGAAATGCTTCGTTTACCTTCGTTTGCGTAAGGGTGCCCATGTGACACGGAACGCATCTCTCTTGTCGTAAGGACGAGGGAGATGCGGGTGACCGTGTGACAGAGGTATTGCACATGGAGTATATTCTTGATAATCTATACTTTTGGCAAATTAAAACAAATTTTGAATTCTTGGTTGGCCTTGCTATGTTTTCAATGAATTTTTAAAAGGGGTTTAATTCAAACTGCTCCTCTACACTGATACGGTTAATTCATACCTTATGCTTGTCCTTGCATCTCTTGATTGCTTTCACTGGTAGCTGAACATTTGCGTTGTTATATTGCCAACATTTGCAAATAAAGTCAGTTGCCTTCCTGCACATCATTTCGTAGTAATAGCTCTGAGGCCACCATTAGAACTGGGTATGGACTATTGCAGGTTGTGAAGCACCTTTGTTTGAAGGCATTAAGAGTGCAGCTGTACATGCTCTTTGTGCAGCTGTTAGTAAATTTATAGAGACTGCAAGCTTGCCATAAAAAAAAACTAATATTGACAGTTGCAGTTTCTTCATGATTCAGATAGACAAACTAATATTGACAATCCCTCAGGAAAGTTTGCAATTCGACCTGCCAAAGTGGTCTAGTGGCCAACGCACTCGGCTGCTGACCTGCAGGTTGCAAGATCAAATCTCCGCCGTGGTGGCAGTATTTTCAGTGGAACCGAAAATGCTTGAGGCCCGTGTGCTTAGGTTTATGTGCACGTTAAAGAACCCCAGGTGGTCGAAATTTCCGGAACCCTCCACTACGGCGTCTCTCATAATTATGTGATGGTTTTGGGACGTCAAGTTTGCAATTCCAAGGATGGCTTGCAGCCCTGCATTTCAAGTTACATTCATAAGAAGAGAAGAAAATAAACTTTATCATGGAATATCTGTTTGTATACCCTTGCTCAGGAGACTGTACATTTACTGCAGTCCAGCGACAACATGCTTTGGCTCTCAAGTGTGAATAGAAGAAGGGTGCATAGCAACTACCTGAAAAAAGTTGCAGGTCTATCCAATAAAAAGTTGAGTAAGTGAGAATAATATCAAGCACTTTATTACAAGTTGCAAGACATTGTGCCACTGGTGTGCCTTTTTCTTGGTTTGGTACCTTGTTAGTGCCTAAATTGTAATCATCAGTGTATGCTGGAATTTACACCAGAGGACATGTGAGTGAAAATATAGCAAGGTTTTGTGGAGCTGATGGAGACAGCTGAAACAAGCTTTGCTTGTCTTATTTACTTTTGTGGCTGAAAACCGCTGGACAGGTCTTGATGAGAGGGTATGAAACAAAACAATAACTTTTTTTTTACATGTGATGAGCATGCATGCACCATCATTCAAAGTTTGCATGCAGGCAATCATGTTTTTGTATAATCATTAATTTCTGGTTTAGTTATACAAGTGCCCATTGGATACATTGACTGGTAATGCAACACACATGCGGCACTCGGCTGCTGCGCACGTAACTATTTGCAACCTTTCTATGATCAAAATAAGCTTTTTTCATGCCTACAGCGTTTCTGTTTACTTGAATCGTATGTTATTTCTTGTTTTGTTTTTTAATTGGGACATTTTCTTTGTAAAGCTTTTAATTGAATTTTAATGAAAATTTTAATTAAAAGATGCCTATATACAACATGATATGCAACAAGGCAGTTATAGAATATTGTTACGGAAAAAAAATTCCGCCATATCCACGAAGTGAATGATGATGAGTGGGCGAAGCTCCAGAGGTAAACCTGGTAAACCATGAATCCTCTTTACATTTTGCCCACTCGATTTTATTACATCGCTCCCCCTAGCGTACGTCGCCGCACTAAATCGAACGATTGCCTTCAACCAATGACTCGCGCCATATGTGACATCATTCCTATTTTATAAGATCTCGCGTCTTTCATCAACTACAAGTACCGCTTTCTAGTTTATAACATCTTGCATCTTTTCATCATCAGCTACAAGTACCACCATCTAGTAAACACTACAAGAACTAAACGAGAGGTGGCTACATACAGGAGACGGTACCGCCATCTAGTGAACACTGCAAGAACTAAACTAGAGGTGGCTACATACAGGGGACCACACCGCCATCTAGTGAACACTGCAAGAACTAAACTAGAGGTGGCTACATACAGGCTACAGGGGACGCACAGCCCACGCCCTAAGGAGCTTCGCCCCTAAAAAGAGACGCCGTATCGACGAGGCTGTGGATTAGATGTATTTGAAACCAGCGGTAATGGCGTGACCAGTTCACCAGTGATCGAGCGGAGACAACCCTTCGTCTTCCTCGTCAGGCACACACGCGCGTCGCCCGCTAGAATCTCAGCATGCATGCATGTAGCATAATCCCTGGCGGCAGAAGTGCCGTCTCGGCGCATCTAAATGTCAACGTCACTAGGAGAGTGGTAGGGCTTCAAGCGCGCAACATGTACAATATTGGTAGCCTTTTGGGCACATGAAGGCGACGGGGCGACAGGACCAATTTCATATGTCACAGGAGTAACCACACGAAGGACTCAGTATGGACCTGTGTAGCGAGTAAGGAGTTTTTCTGACAAGCAAACTTGACGGGTCGAAGACCAGAGCAGGACCAAAGAACCGGGCAGAAAGTGTACGTCGCGGTGTCATTGGTCATACAAACGCCGTTGCTTCTCTTGAGAGGTCAGAAGGCGAGTACGGGTGATTTCGCGTGCGTCAGCGGCCCGAGTGATAGCATCCATGGCATATTCACTGGTCGGTACTGCAGGAGACGGTATGACGATGGCTAGAGGCAATGTTGGTTCTCAGCCAAACAGCAGAAAAAATGGAGAGTAACCGGCAGTGTCATGGTGCGAAGAATTATAGGCAAATGTGACGTACGGCAATGCAAGATTCCAGTCGGTGCGGTTGGTAGAAACATACTTAGCGAGCATGTCTGTAAGAGTTCGATTTAGACGTTCCGTGAGTTTGTTGGTTTGCGAATGGTTTGACGTAGTCAGCTTGTGTCTCATTTGACAGGACTGCAAGATGTTGGCTATGACCTTCGACAAAAAGGTTCGGCCACGGTCTGTAAGAAGCTGCCGTGGGGCTCCGTGTTGCAAAATGACATCCTTGAGGAAGAAGTCGGCGACGTCTGTGGCGCAGCTTGTTGGAAGAGCTCGTGTGATGGCATAACGCGTGGCTTGGTAGGTGGCCACAGCTATCCACTTGTTACCCTAGGAATACAAGGAGAAAGGTCTGAGTAGGTCCAAGCCAACACGGAAGAACGGTTCTGATGGAATGTCAAGTGGTTGAAGGCGTCCGGCGGGAAGTGTCGATGGCGTTTTGCGGCGCTGACATTTCTCACAAGCCGCAACGTATCTTCTAACTGAGCGTGCGAGCCCTGGCTAAAGAAGCGTCGGCGCATTCGGTCGTAAGTGCATGACACACCAAGGTGACCAGCAGTCGGAAGGTCATGAAGTTCATTTAGAACTTCCGAGCGGAGGTGTTTCGGAATGACAAGCAGCAGGGCCGGTCCATCCGGCTCAAAACTTTGGTGGTATAATACACCATCGTGGAGCACGAATGAGCGATGGGACTGATTGGAAGATGGTGATTCGAGGCGCTCAACGATAGCATGCAAGGACGCATCATGGCGCTGCTCGTCACCGATGGATGTCATTTGTGAAAGGTAAAAGACGCAAGGCTCGGTGTCGGTGTCAGGCATAGTGCTCGACTCAGCAACCGGGTAGCGGGACAGGCAGTCTGCATCCTGGTAGGCGTCCAAACTTGTACGTCACTGTGTAGGTATACTCTTGCAGTCGCAGAGCCTAGTGCCCAAGCCGGCCAGTAGGATTCTTCAGTGACGTAAGCCAACACAGCGCGTGATGGTCAGTTATTACAGAGAAATTTGTGCCATAGAAATATGGGCGGAACTTAGAAACTGCCCAAACAAGAGCAAGACACTCACGCTCTGTAATGGAATAGTTGCGCTCAGCAGCTGTGAGGAAGCAGCTAGCGTTGGCGACAACTCGGTCGTGTCCCCGTTGGCGTTGGGCTAGGATGGCTCCGATCCCGTGACCACTAGCATCGGTTCGGACTTCTGTCGGAGCGGATGGGTCAAAGTGAGCCAATATAGGTGGAGTCGTCAGAAGCGTGATTAGACGAAAAAAAGCAGCAGCTTCGTCGGTACCCCACATAAACGTGACGTCTATCTTCAGAAGCTCAGTGAGGGGTCGAGCGATGGTTGCAAAACCTTTCACAAACCTAAAGTAGGAACAATGTCCTATAAAACTCCGGACGTCTTTCACTGATCGGGGTACAGGAAAACTGGTGACTGCACGAATTTCATCCAGGTCCGGCTGCACACCAGATGCGTCGACAAGGTGGCCCAACACCGTAATTTGCCGGCGTTCGAAGTGGCACTTCGACGAGTTTAATTGAAAGCCTGCAGTGCGGAATATGTCGAGAATAGCTGACAAATGCTGAAGGTGGGCCTCCAATGTTGGCGAATATACAACGACATCGTCAAGATAACAAAGGCATGTTGACCATTTGAACCTTTGTAGCAGAGAGTCCATCATGCGCCTGAACGTGGCTGGGGCGTTGCATAGCCCAAACGGCATAACCTTGAACTGATATAGGCCGTCTGGAGTTACAAACGCTGTCTTCTCTTGGTCTTTTTCGTCGACAGCAATCTGCCAGTAGCCGGAACGTAGGTCTATTAAAGAAAAGTATCGGGCGCCGTGGAGACAATCGAGAGTGTCATCGATGCGGGGTAAAGGGTAAAAATCTTTTTTCGTGGTTCTATTCAGATGGTGGTAATCCATGCAGAAGTGCCACGTGCCATCTTTCTTTTTAACGAGCACAACGGGGGACGCCCAAGGGTTCGAAGAGGGTTCAATAATTCCTTTGGCTAGCATCTTGGCGACTCCTTGTTGAATTACTTTACGCTCGGTGGCAGACACCCGGTATGGCCGCTGATGAATGGGATAAGAATCACTTGTGGTAATGCGGTGCTTGACGAGTGAAGTCTGATCGAGTGGGCGGCTGTCTATGTCGAATGTGTCGTGGTATGAAGCCAGAAGGCGGCAGAGCGCGGCTGACTTCTCAGGTTCGAGGTCAGGGGCGATCATGGAGCGTAAGGTTGCATCGAGGCACGTGGTAACCTGCGAGTGACATGGGTGATCGGGACATACGTCTTCCGCAAAACAGGTGATGTGGTCGTCAATTAAGAGTCTTAGTGTGGCAACCAATATTCCTTGACGTAGCACTTGTTTTATGAAACCAAAATTAATAACAGGTAAATATGTTCGGTTAGAGGCCATGGTTACAACGGAGTGTGGGACAGTAATATCGCGCGCCAGGAAAACATCAGGAATCGGCGTCACCATATAATCACCGTCGAGCACGGGAGAGGGTGTAGCCAATTCAACGAATGTGAGAGCTTTAGGTGGTATCTGGAAGAAGTCAGAGGTGCACAAGCTGTTCGGGAGTTCAGGGTGAGAATTTGGGAGAAGAGGAAGTTCTAGGCAGAGAGTAATTCAACGAATGTGAGAGCTTTAGGTGGTATCTGGAAGAAGTCAGAGGTGCACAAGCTGTTCGGGAGTTCAGGGTGAGAATTTGGGAGAAGAGGAAGTTCTAGGCAGAGAGTACCGGCGGCACAATCGATCAGAGAAGAATGCGTCGATAGGAAGTCCATGCCGAAGATTAGGTTGTGAGAGCAATTTTCAGGCTCCGTAAATAAAACGGGGACATGGCGGCCAGCAATACTAACGTGAGAGGTACACATTCCAGTGATGGCCACAGTTCTGCCATCAGCGACACGGAGGACTTTAGTTGCTGCAGGCGTGAGGACTTTTCTGAGCAGGCGACACAGATGAGCACTCATTATCGACACTTCAGCTTCGGTATCAACTAACGTCGTCAAAGAAATGCCGTCCACATACACCTCAATCAAATTCGTATTAGTGGGGAGCGTCAACGGAGGATTTGGATCAGTCGCAATTGATGCAGCACTACCTCCTCGAGCTGCATGATCTAGTTTTCCGTCCAAGAGGATCTATAGTTGACCGGCGACGGATAGTGGCGTGGTTGGGGCGATGGGGAACGGCGGCATTGAGGTGACAGCGAACGAGCGGTGGAGCGGCTGTTAGAGATGTCGGAAGAAGGGTACAGACGACTGGGCGAATACCGACGGGAGTCCTCGTATAGGCGAGAAGAGGAAAATGGGCTCCAGTTGGAGGGCGTCCAAGTGCTGCGGCATCAGCGGGAGATATGGCCAACTCGGTGGCAGCGGAAGCAGATCGGTCTGTCGTCTGCAGTTCTCCATTCCGTCGGATTGCGGGATCGTGGAATAAAATGTAAGTCATGGCATGGTGCATTATTTGTCATTGGTCTGGAGGTGGGTTGGGAGGCAGAGCAGGCCACAGGAATACTGAGCTTTGCAATTTCCTGTCTCACGACGGCTCGAATAACGGAGATCGCCGGAAGCGTTTGTACAATGCCATGGTCGAGCGGATGTGGAGGAAATGGTGCCGAACTTTGTGCCTCAAGCTCCCGTCGAACTATACGTGTCACACTGTCCTGCATGAGTAGTGCGGAACCGAGATCTGTGCAGGTTGATGTAACAGCCGTGTTTGGTAGCCGCGTAAACTGAGGCAGAACACGGCGGCTTTTGGCCATTTCGAAGCGGCGGCATTCCTTAGTAATCATATCTACGGTCGTGATGTTGGTGTACACGAGCAAGTTGAAGGTGTCGTCCACGACGCCCTTGAGTATGTGGCCCACCTTGTCACACTCTGTCATTTGCTCATCCACTTTCCGGCACAACGCGAGCACGTCCTGTATGTACGAGACATATGATTCAGTTGAGGACTGTGCACGAGTGGCAAGTTCTTTTCGCGCTTCCATTTGGCGACCGGACGGGTCCCCAAAGAGGTCGCGTAGTCGCTCCTTGAAGATATCCCAGTTGGTGAGCTCGGTCTCATGGGCGTCGAACCGAACACGTGGGGTGCCGTCCATGTAAAATATTACGTTGGCAGGCATCATTGTAGGCTCCCATCGGTGTGTCTGGCTAACACGCTCGTACATACGGAGCCAGTAGTCAATGTCAAGCACAGGTTGTGCGGAGAATGTACCGGGATCATGGGGGTGCGGCATCGTCAGGTATGTGGTGGCCGGAGCTACAGATGGAGATGCTGATGGGTTGGTGTTATTGGTAGCCATGGCCGGAGACTGAACAGTGCGGCCACTGCGAAGCTTCGTGGTGAGGACAAGGAACGTTCCACCTCCACCAAATATGTTACGGAAAAGAAGAGACCCCGTATCGACGAGGCTGTAGATTAGATGTATTTGAAACCAGTGGTAATGGCGTGACCAGTTCACCAGTGATCAAGCGGAGACAACCCTTCGTCTTCCTCGTCAGGCACACATGCGCGTCGCCCCCTAGAATCTCAGTATGCATGCATGTAGCAGTATAAAACGATTTGCATAAAGCTAGCTGTACTATGTATTTATTGACCTTTTCAATTAAAACTGAGATATAGAGATTTTGAGCTGATTTTCCTCATCTTTATTTGATGTAATGGTGCGAAGGTGTGATGTACAGCTATAAGGGCTTGTTGCTCATATTTTGCATCTCCCTTGCATATGGTATATACATATAACATCTGGCATACACGCCTTTCATGGAAACCAAGAAGTAAAATGTATTAACAAAAGAGGTTGATGGGGAGTAACGCTGACCGGCAGCAAAAATAAAAATTTATTAGGTCGAGAAACACATTATGTAGAATCCTATCAACAAGATTGTCCTGTAGATGTTTGTTTCGGCCTGTGCGGAAAGGTCACATGGCAGTTCCAGTATTGAAAACATAACAGTAAATCTCATATTTTACACGAAATGCCGAAAAGTTTGGTCGATGATTAAAAGGACCTTCCTGACCAACTCAATATCTTTGTGCAAAATTGTCAAAAATTATTTTTGGGTCCCCAAGTGTTTTGACGCAGCAAACTGAGCTGATTTTCCTCATCTTTCTTTTCGTCTTTTTTGTCGCAGGTGTGATGTACAGCTATAAGGGCTTGTTGCTCATATTTGGCATCTTCCTTGCATATGAGACACGGAGTGTCAAGATCAAGCAGCTCAACGACTCACGCCTTGTTGGCATGAGCATATACAACGTTGTGGTGAGCACCTCAAATTTACTGGTACCTACGTTTTAAATCAAGAACCTGCGAAGTACGCTCAAACCTCAATTTAATGGACTCTGATATAATGAATCATCGGTTATAATGAAGTAAGTGAAAAAATAGTTGTCATAAGTAGTGTTAAGAATATGTGGTTATAACAAATTTTCAGATATAACAAAGCATTTTCGCAGCAGATGTGAATTTGTCATAACGAGGCTTGAGTATACTATTAAAGGGGCTCATTTTTGGTTCTTTACAGACAATTAGTAGTAAGGCTACAGTTCTATGAGGGTGAAATGTAAGAACTGATCATGTAGTGATGATGCAACACGTCTCACGCATCTGTGCTAAAGGTTATTTCTCAGAATTTTCGGAAGGCTTTTGTTACTATAGAGAATTTTTTGGGTGAAAATGGTACAGGAAATGCATCATTGAGGGACATTGGCTGGATGTAAAAAAGTGAATTTGTTCTCTTCTGTGCTCTGTTGTATGTCTTGTGATCTTGGCAAAGCGCAAAAGCTGTCTACAAGTCGAAAGCTGTAAGTAAGTGTTCTAACCTGAAATTTTCAAGTAGCAAGCATCTGCTAGAAATCGGTGTCATACACAGGGAATTTTTCTAGCTGCAACTCGATATATGCTTGCTGGTGCATGCTGGCTCACTTGCACACACCTGTGCACCATCCACATGGAACAAAGAATGGCATTTACCATCCACAAATGCCACATGGTAGGTAGCATTGGGTCACTCCTTGCTAGGTGCCTTACCGAAAGTCACTAGCGATTATGCTTCATTTACGGTGCCTCAAATTGCCTATCAAAGCCTTTGAACGTAATTGTTTTCAGTTTGGAGTTGTGAAATTCGGCAGATCCCACATACTTTGGGAATCAATGTGATGCTTAGCATGTAGAGGGAAGGCAACTGTGTTGTAATTTTTTATGGAGCAAAATGTTACGAGACAACACTAAAGTATATACAAATGTTGTACGCGCAGTCATATGTTGACAGTCACATATGTTTTATATAACCACTTGTTAAGTAGTTGCGTGATGATGCCAACAGCAAGTGGGCATTAGCAACACCACAAGTGGTGCCAGCGAGCATGACAGCCATGGACGCAGCTACATAAATCAGCTTTAGTGGATGGCGCTCAACCACGATTGACGCTAACCCAACATGACGGCTGTCTCATAAGAATACGTATATAATGTTAGTAGAATTGAGTAGCCAGCACTGAAACCACAGCTGACATTTCACGAACATTACGGTCTACTTGAAAAGCAGTTTTGAGACCCGGTGTGGCTCTGTAGTAGAATACAGTAGACTCTCAGTAAATGGAACCTGAAGAGACCGGGAAAATGTGTTCCATTTAACAGGAGTTCCGTTTACTGAGAGGGGAACATGGCTGCAGGATACAAGCCCGTAACCAAGTATTGCAGAGGCAATAGTTCCATTTAAGCAGTAGTTTCATTTAACAGATTTTCGTTTACTGAGAGTTTACTTCACTTAATTGCCATGCAGAATGCTGGGGTTTGATTTCTGCTGGCACCATGACATTTATTTCATTTCATTTATTTACTCTCAAGGCACTGGGCATTACAGAGAGGAGTGGGACAACAAATATTAATAAGTAAAACAATACAGCAGGATTAGAATAAATTATAATGGACTTTCAGAAGTGATTGATTTGAACGCGTTGACGTCTGTGATTGAAGCGATCGATGCGGGAAGGTGGTTCCAGTCAGTACATGTTCTAGGGATGAAAGAGTTGAAGTGCTGGTTCGTATGGCAGAAGGGAACCCCAACCTCGTATTGATGGTCATTGCGTGCTGATATGTAGGCTGGTGGAAAAAACAGTGAATCAGAGAGGGTTCTGTTAGTTCCGTTAATTCTTTGCATTCGTCGGGTCAATGCTGCCGATGTCAGCATTTTCTTAACATTGAAATTACCAATGTCTGTTCTGGGTTGACATGAACTGTCAATCACCTGTGGCACATACCCGCTCATGGTATATAGGCTTGTGCCACACGTCTGGTGGAAAGTGTTCGACGGCGTACACGATAGGATTGCCACATTATTTATGTCAAGACCAGCGAGTCATAGTCGTCAAGCTATCTTAGCCTTACTTACTAATTTTGGTTCACCGTAAGTTGAGGGTGGTGACTACGAGAGCATCCAGATGTAGGCGGCTAGATAGATATACAGTCGAGCCCGCTTATAACGAACCTGAGCGTAACGCGGCATCCGTTCGCTGTATCCCGAAGTTCGTAGTAAATGAAACAGTTTTTAAAAAAAAGTTGCGAGTGAAAACGCAAACTTTTTTTGCCCCAAAAAGTCCGTGATGCACGTGTTTCAAAGAACAGAAGCAATAAGGGCGGTCTCGAGTTCATTTAAAACTGCAGGGTGCTCGCTCGCCGTGGCCCGTGGCATAAGCTGCATGAGGCACTGACTCCAAAGTTTCGTCGTTCTCGCAATCCGATTCCTCCAAATCGCTCTCGCCATGCACTTTATTCACGATTCCCCAATCCATGCATGGTTCCGCAGTGTCGGCATTACCATCGGCCGTAATTAAACCATCGCAACAGATGTCCCACCCGCTCTCCCAGGTCGGAGTCGACGACGCGCTGCCACAAATTGCCGCCGTTGTGGTCCTGTTCGGAAGCTTCAGGCTGCTCGGCATCGGGCGTGACGTCGACGAAGTCGGCCTCGCGAGAACAGTTTGGCCCGCATGTAGTCGTCACCGCCGCCAACGAAATATTCACCATCTCTACAGCTGAATACCGGGACGCCCAAAGCGGCAAGTTGGCTGCCAGGTGGTCAACAGCTATGAGCAAGCGCTTCGCAACGCGGCACCTAACGCGCTGATTACGCTCAAGCGAAGTGGCCACACTTTCGACATTTTGTTGAGCGGCAGGAAAAAGCGTGCTAGTCCTCCCATCGGCCATCATGACCACACACGCACACCAAGAGCGAGCAAGACGCGCACACGCGACACACATGCCAGAACGCGTGGAACAGCTCTGGGCCCGTTTCCAGTCAGAAAACAAAACTAATTCGAGCCAGCATGGCGGGCGTCGCGGAGCGGTGGAGACGGGCGAAGGGGTTGTGATGAAGAGAGAAGAGCAGACTTGCGAGAGAAGGGCAAAGAGTTGCGATAAAGAGAGGGGAGGATGCGGCAGGAGGGCGACCTTGAAAACCAAAACACACGGGAAGGAGGCAGGTTGGGTAGCTTGCTTGAAAGGTCCACAAAACTCGCATGTAAAAAACTTGGAAAGAGTGCATGGCACCCTAAATCGGTGCAGGCGGCTGTGTTCGAAGAATCGGCGGCCGTGGTCAAAAAATCGTTTCGTTGCGCCGGCGGGTTTGCATGGCCTCACGAACTTTGATATTTCGCGATTCGTTCCGCGCAAATTAACAGGGGTTTTCGCGCTTCCGCACACGTGCGGAAGGCATGCTGAGTCGAGTGCGAAGTGAGCGAGAACAAGTCCTGAACACAAAACGAATCGCAAATGATCAGAGTCGGTGGTGTAGCATACGCGCGTGCACTAGACGCAGACTATCGAATACAGTTGGTGGCCAACGATGTTGGCAAACGGTCTGGTCACTCCATGCCGGTGACGCCAACGGCAGTACCAGCGATCAAAAACGAGGTATATGGCCGACCGGTCTTCGAAAGATCGGTGGCAGTGTGAAAACACGGCCTCGTCTGGCGATGCGGAATGCTCAGAGTAGCAGGGGGGACAAAGGACGGAGAGGTGCGTAACAAAAGTGGTCGGGGAGAGCGGCAACTAGAGGGGCGCGGAGGCAGGGTCGGCGTTTAACAATAAGAATGTATGGGCACCTCGTCGATGCCTGCATGATCAGCGGTCGAAATTGGTTTCCCGGGATGTCGGCACGCTGACTCCGTTCGCTGTAACTGATCAGTAGCGCTCGGAGGCGTTCGTTGTAAGTGCGATTTTGTGCCATTAAACCAATGTATATTTTCATGGTCACGTGGATATTGTTCGTTTTAAAGGAAAGTTCGTTTTAAGTGGGGCCGTTATATGTGGGCTCGACTGTACAGACAAACATGTAAAATTCTTACGGTACGCAAAGAAATGCTTCGCATTCAAAACAGTGTTGAGGCGTAACAGACTTTCTTAGATGCACAAATTCAGTAATGAGCTGGTTTGCATGACAATGTAGCGCCACGCAAGCCCTCTCACTGGTGAGATGATGTGTGGTGGAAGTGTGGGTACCTGTAGTTGGTATTCCATTTTCAATGCTATTGCCTTTGCATGCTTTAATTGCTTGGCCAATGATTGGAGCAGCAGTCTGCCTGTGTTATCAGAGGGATCATCTGACTGAGCCGTAGGTAAAGTAAATTCTCAATAAACAAAATCTGCGGGGACAAGAAAATATGTTCTATTTAACAGGAGTTCCATGTAGTGAGAAATGAACAAAGGTGTGCAATAGAAGTACGAAACCAGCTTTGTCACATTTAAGAGATTTGTTTACTGAAAGTCTACAGTAATAAAACTGGCGTAGAATAAAACATAATGCATTGCTCTAAAATACTGGCACCAATGCATGCAGGCAAGCGTATATAGAAATTTTTTTTTCATTCACCGATATCGAAGTGCAAGGATGTAGCCAAAAAATTTTGGGGGGGGGGGGGGGGGGAGTGGTGGTGTTGAGTCCCCTAAACCACCATCCTGGCTATGCCACTGTCGAAGTGCCAGCCATTGATGGTAGAAACTATCTAGCAAAATAATCACTGCAGTAATGGCTAATCATAAATTTTTATTTTATTTTATAGCTATCGTATTGTACATCACCCAAAGGCATTGTTCTTAGGGGTGCAAAGTGAGAAATCACTGAAACATTAACAATCAGGATGAACCACATTGAAGATTGCTTGTATATGTGCACCAAAGGAAAAAGGGGAAACATTGATGTAATAGAAAAGAGTCAAGACAAATTGCTGCCCGAAGTTGATATGTGTGCTAACAGGCTCAATTGCATTGGCAAAGCAAGGCATCGAAAGTATCTTCACAAAGAGCTCAATTGAAGTACTAATAGTATAAGGGAAAAATTATAATTTGAATGGACCAAGGCAGCATTTGTACTGCCTAATCATATTTGTATGATTACACCTTGCTGATACATAGAAAAACTGCTTGATTTACTTATTTTTGCTTATTCTTGTTTTATCATTGTAAATTCTTAGGAGAAACGTAAACGTATGCAGTTTCAGCGAGTATCAAGTTTCCAACCTATTTGGTATGTTGTGAGCTTCTTATGTTGGAATAATAATTGCTAGTCACCAATCTTGCAGGCAGTTTCTGCACCCTTTCTTTTTTAGTGCAGCTGTTAAGGGATCCTTGCTACTCAAGAATATTTTAAGGTCATTCTAATGTTAAGCCGTTGTCGTGTGCTTTGTGGTGTAAATTCCCAATTGACACTTGTATTTGCTTTAGATTTATGCCCCGACACTTCAACAGCAGTTTATCTGTGATTATATTGCACTATATCCAAGAATCATTATGAAGAATTCATTGTGTGAGGCTTAGCTGGCATGGTGAAACAAGCAGCTGATCTTTCTAATAATGACAAAAAGTGTCTGATGCTTCCTGTTCCGTGTGAAGTGGCACAAAGCAGTGGCTGATTTAACCATTTATTTATTGCTGTCTGCACAGAGGGCAAGTAGTAAGTGCAAGTTCTGATAGAAGTGGGCAGTCATGTTTTCATGGGCACAGCTGTGTTGGTTTGTAACCACAGGTACTGTCTGGTACCAATACAACAATTAAAGGCATACTATATAAATGTGAACAGACTAAACAGGTCACGTATTGTTGTGACGTATTGTGTATTAAAGAATGGCAAATATCTCAATCCTGCCATTTGTATGGTAATTGTATGTGAAACTATGTTTTGCTGTACAGTTAAACCTTGATATAATGAAATTTATAAATTCCCGGGAAAATTCGTTATAAAGAGGATTTCGTTATATGCAGGTTTGGAACGAAAATTCTGAAAGTAAGCGCTCAAACTAAACAAAAGGTGGAGTGAAGGCAAAGCTAACCCAAAACACTTATTCAGCTATAAAGAACTATTATTGTTGCAATAGCAATTATATGGACACTCTCGGGAAGTGTGCAATCGGGGAAGACGCATGCCGCCGAAGACGCAGAACCAGCAGAAGATGCATGCTCGTACCAAAATGACAAAATCCAGGGCCAAATTCCTAGATTGTCTACGGGGAAATTTTGTTATATCAAGGTTGTCTCCCGCTGTTACTTTGGTAAATAGAGGTCGCAAATACATGTGCTTCTCTAGAGCAGTGGTGGGCAGTTGAAAACCTTTGTTATATTGAGGAATTCATTATATGGAGGTTTGTTATAAGCAGGTTTAACTGTACAAGCATGTAGCAATCATGTTGCAAACATGTGACTTGCTTACAGCCTGTAGCTGTGGTAGTGCTGAAAGGTAGTGGTAAGATGGCGTAAAGAATTCCTTTTTTAGTACCAGAAAGTAGCAGTTGCGAGAACCTTTTTTGAATGACACTGCTGTGAGAAAGGGATAACTAGTTATTTGTATTGAAACCCATGTTACATAAGCTTTGAAAATGTGATAACATTTTTCTTACTTAACTGCCAGGTTTTGCATTCCACTCTCTGCGCTATTATGGCTTGGGTCAATGCAGCGACTGACCTCGATTTGTACTACACATGGTAAAGGTGTGCAAGAAGCACAGTTTTGCCGCATTGTGTGTAGATTTGTTCTGTTGACAATGACTTTTTAAACTCATTCTCTAAATTGCATTCATCATGCATTTTTATTGCCAAGTCTAATTGCTACTTTTAAATGCCCAAAATGTAAGGGTGACCAAATATTTGAGTTTTGGATGCAATTTGAATAATAATTAATAAAATAATGTTATTCCACTTTCAAACAGCTAATATTTTAAGTTTTGAATAGTTCGGCTGTATAAATATTTGAAGCCCGACAAAAGCCAATGTGCAACTTGGTTAGGGTGGGGTGGCTAAAACTAACACACACATCGTTACAGAAGGCCTTCCGCTAAAGCTTTAATCGATATACTGGTTCAAAACTGAGTGCATATTTATTTTAGAAGATTATGCTGTTTTCGTACATCATGGCTTTGGCATAAAAGGCCAGAGGATAATGTGAGAAACTGCCGAACTGCAGGCATAAAAAAATAACCAGCACTGAGCTCATACCTTGTAGTCAAGAGGTTCAAGAATGCTTGAATGAGCCCCTGACCGCACAAAAGGATGATCCTTTGAAATAGTGTAAAGCGCATATAGCTGCACTTTATCCAGGTATTGCTAAAATTGATTCGCAATGCCTTCCAGTCTTTGCTACTGAAGGGCCGAGTGAGCGCATACTTTTAACTGCTGGAAACACTGTAACATCACAGTGAGAAAGTTTGAAGCAAGGTCATGTGGAAGAGCTTCTGTTTCTACATGACAATTTGTAGCCTTTCAGTGGCATCAACTCACCGCAATGTGTTTTTGAAGACATGAGCAGATTGCATTTCTTGTTCTTTCTTTCAGTTTTTAACAAAGTTCTTGGTATTCAATTTGATATTAGACATTTTTTAACACTATTCGGCACTATTCATTTCCTATTCAATTCGAGATGAAATTTCACTGCAGTCGAACCCCTTTATAAGAGGCACTCCTGTAAGAGACAAATGGGTGTAAGAGAGGCCAGTGGGCCTACATAAAAAAAAGGGAGTTTAATTAGAAAATGCATACGTAGTACCCTGCTTATAAGAGACATCTCACATAAACGACAAGAATTGCTCATCAGTGCATGTCTCCTATATAGGGGCTCAACTGTGTTCACACACCTCTGCTGAAATTATTTCTATATATTTTTTTCTTTTTCTTTAAAGGGCCACTCACCAGGTTTGATAATTTTGAGCTGACAAGCGCAATGCGTAGATGGGGTGTTCACGATCACATCTACCAAAATTTGCCACGCTACACACCGCGGAAATGGGTCAAATTTCAAGATCAACGCTGCTCCCCCTTTCTTTCGCGGGCGCGTGCCCAGAGAATAAGGGCATGACGTGCACGTACGAATGGCTTTATGTACACGGCAGTGCAGTGATGCTGGTTCTCTACGTAGACGACTGTGCTCTGATATTGCCAACAGTAGCACGTGGCATGGCGAAAATTATATAACACGACATGCGTAGTTTATGTAATTTGTTGCTTGTAGAGATTAATAAAACTCTAGATAAATAATGAGACGCAATGAGGGGACGTGTGCGCTTTTTTTCATTTTGTTCCCATAAATTGCAATGAGATGCGGGGCTAATGTGCCGGCGTTTCGCATGCGTTTGTGTTCCTGGGGTCAGCGCATCGAGGAGAGGGCAGCCATGGAAGCGAAAGTAACACTCCTACGCGTTCGCCCGCTTATTGTGCTCATCTATTCTACCGCATCTAAGCCAGCATTGTCAAGCTATCTCATAGAAAGAGGCAGTAGACCACAAAATAACGCTGGTAAAAAAAACCGCCGCTCGCGTGCACAGGGGTTGGGCTTGTTCGGGCACGTCATGCACACGTGACCTCTTGGTCAGATGCCGGAGAGGGTAGGGAGGAGATTTGGCTTGCCAAGGCTACGCGGAGGAGCGACAATGGTTTTAAGCTCGCCCCCTGTCATCCTCGCTTCGCGCCGCTTCAAAAAACAGTTTTCTCAGCTCGTAATGAACCGATTGAAAAAAAAATTTTGTGGTAAAATGCTCCTCATTGGACACACAACAACTTCCACAGTCTAACTAAAATTTGTTATGGAGCCTAGTTATGGAGCCCTTTAAAATTAAGTCAACTAGCCTTGATACATTTTCAAATATTTATAGGCCTTTGTGGACTCCGATATTTTCAAGAAATTGTCATTTGGCCGAGCCTGCATCATTGTCATTGTACTCTTGATCAGGACAACATCTCACATGCTTGCCAGTCAAAGGTGAAGCATGTTTTTGTTGACACAATAAGTGCTTCACTTCATAGCAGTGTTTGTGTGACAGCAGCAACCTGCAGTTGTTGTAGCTTAATAATCAATGAGGTATGCTTTAAAAGGGGTGATTATATGTGCTGGAGTTTTGTAAAATAGATCTTTTCACAATGCCCCCTCCCTTATCTCAGAGTCTGATAAAAGTACAAGTGTTAAAAAAGGTATTATGACAAGAAACACGAATGAACACGTGTCCATATTTCCTGTCATCCTGTCCCCTTTTGCCCTTACTGTATATTAAGGCTGTGTAATACCAGCTAGCTTTTTCCTTTCTCCCCATCTCTGTGACCAGGTGCTGTGTCTGATCACGGCGCCAGTCACGCTGGTGATTGGCAGCCAACAGGATGCCACCTTTGCATTTGTCGCCCTAGCCATCATCTTCTGCAGTTTTCTCTCCATGGCACTCATCTTCGTACCCAAGGTATGTGCAACTCCTGGTGTGTGCATTTGACATGAAATCAGTAAGAATGCCATGATCGTAATTACTATCAAAAATATATGTGTACAGTCTTAAAGACCCTGGTAAAAGCTGCACTTTCTTTTTCTTTTCCCGCAATCTGAACGAGGTGTTGCCCTTACATGGAACAGGGCGATTAGTCTACTATGAGTGAGAATGCTAGCGGGATAATTAAAGGGACACTAAAGGCAAATATGAAGTCAATGTTGATGACTGCAATAGCCATCCAGAAACCTCGTAAAGCTACTTTTGTGCCAAGGAAATGCTTATTTTGAAATAAAATCACATTTTAGTGGTCTGCATGATGTCAGTGCTCTTTGAATCGCTCGGCTGAAGACAGGCCTCCTGACGTAGCAGTTGCCTTGCCCAAGGTTGCCTGCCTTCAGTGTGCAACCGCCGACATATACAAAGGTTTGTAGGAATACAATGCTACTGAATGGTGGTGTCGACATCTTATAATGCTTTATACAACCAGTTATAGACATACTTGTGTTTGCCTAGTGGTTTTGAGGTAAAAAATGATGAAAAAGGCAACTCGTTTGTAATTAGGCCACTGCAAGGCATTTAGACCAGAAGTAGAATGAACAATGTTTCAGCAATAAAATGTTTGTGCTTGCCTCGTTTAAGTGGGCCCTGATAGATATCCAGCCTAACCAAGCAAAAAACAGAACTTTGAACCAATCGTACCATTTCACCTGGTAACACCAAGTGGTTCCTTTTTTTCATGAATCAAACATGAACGGACAAGCAGCATTTTATTATGTCGTGTAATGTACTTATTCTTATTTATTGCAACTGATTTGATGCCTAGTGGTAAATTGTATTCGGGACTTTTGACATCATTGGGATCATTTCAAGATGTCCCACTTCGTGGTGCATATGGTGTTGTACATTTACGTTGATTTCTTAATAAGTACTAGAGCACTGCTGTTGATGTTCTCGAGCATTGATCTTTCACTCTGACATAAATTGTTATTTGGCTTTAGAGCCGCTTTAAGAGATCTGAAATGCAGCCAATACAGAAGAAAGTTAGGTTGGGTAACGAAATTAAAAAATTTGCAGGCATAAAATGGAATCAACTCACGCATAATCAAAGATTTACACAAAAGAAAATACTATCCTTAAGATGTTTCACTTATTAATCCATTCATGCACACCACACACGTGACTACTCGTCTTCATACCACTGGTGCTTACACTTTGTTCACTGTCTCACTTGTGGATTGTGTCCTTTAAAGCTCTGAACGATTACTTGAAATTTCATGGTTGGAATATATGTTATGTAGGATTTGTTAGGCTTTTTTTTTTTAATATTGGGCTTAAATAAAAGTGGTCCTGCAACACATTTTCAAGTAACCATCGAATGGCTTCATAAAAGGAGTTTATTGCCTCATAAATCGACCTCCACAAACTTCTTGGAATCAATCAAGTACGAGTGGAGTTACAGAGATTTGTCACATGCTGCAATTGCTTTCACTCTTCTCTTGTCCCGACAAGCACGATAGAAGCTAAGCGGAGAGGAATGGCACTAGGAAAAAAAGTTACGTTAAGCGTACATCATGACCTCGAGCGTGTGCACGCGCACACACACTTACACCTACCTTCAAGCATGCAGCTTACCTTCAGTGTAGTCTTGAGTGATTGTACAGTACATGGCAGCTTCTCGTGGTGGCTGCCGTTACTGTGCATCTTACTGGGCTCAAATAAGCCAACCGCCATGAATTTAGGCATATGGCGGGGACATTTTGGTATATGGTATCATTTGTAGAAACTTCAGTAAAACATCGATTGGGCCTAGTTCTTTGCACTTAAAAGTACTTCTATCATTTGTAAAAAGCTATAGGGAATGATTTCTAGCTTAGCTTGACCATTAATTGTGAATTCCTGGCCACGTGATGCGCTGTAATGTTTGGTTCGCATCTGCTCAGGAGCCTATACTACTGATCGGCGGCGTTTTCTGACCTTGCTGAAAAAATATACCGGGGCACCTTTAAATAAGCACTGACACAAAAGTTCTCTACCCTCTCTCTCTCTCTATTTTCTTTTTTTTTTCCTTCAATGGGTAGCTTATGACCCACTTAACAAGGTACACGGTTCGGAAACCTCATTTGTGGGAGCGCGCAACATTTATTTAGAGATGTTTTTGTAGTGCTAAGTCACAGTTTCGGTTTCAAAGATCACTGAGCAAGACAGGAGCAGTTCTGGCGACAAGGTAAACACAGCTGGCCACATGACCATGCAGAACTGTGACGAGGGTGCTGCACGCGCAATCGAGCACCGCACTGACAGCCAGCACATGCAATGTTGCAGGCACGGAGGAAGAAATCGGTGGTAGCGCAAGCATAAGCAACCAGCCAACACAAGCTTGTGACATAATACCACTGTCACATGGCCACCACTGGACTCTGTTAAACTCCATCAACATAGAACTCCCCTAGGGAGTTTGATGGAGATGGTTACCCCCATGTCACGCGGCAATTTTACTAACTTTAGACAAAAGCCGCAAGGGGCCCATTAGTAGCTGCTGCGCCTCTTTCTCTACATGCAAAATTTCATGTCTAGTCCCTCTAAAAACGTTTTCAGTCATATGTGTGTTTATATAAACTATAATTTATTTACACCAAAACAAGAACAAATGTTTCAGCTTTTGTCACAGACGCATACACCTGCAAGCAAGCTGACAGTAATGTTGACAGCAGTGCTGGCAACTGCATATTTTTGTTTAGATATGTGTACTGTAATACGCGTTTTCTCTACATACACCGATTGTCAAACGCACAGCATGCTGTGGCCGAGCTCTTTGAAGAGTCGCGCCACTACGTAGATCACAATGTTCTTTACAACATTGGTTGAGCCTAGGTATTGCGTTCAGTACACGAAGCCCTTGCTGCAGATGGGTCACACAACAGTTCGCATGTAGTGCTGACACGAAACCGGTGTTGACGAAGAAAAAAGAAAACCTGCATCAATCACTGCTAAGAGTTTTGGCAGTATTGAAGTAGAACAAAGAGCACAGCAATAAGAAGCTAACAAGTTGCAGAGATGTGAACACCACGGTGCGCACAGGTTGGATGGCTGGCATGTACTTGGAGAAACTTTTTCAAAATGGCGACACGATCGCTTTTGGAAAGGCATGGTGTAGAGAGTACGTACACTTGTACGTGTATTTCATTTTCTTTTAAATGCACGTTATGAGCAGATTGACGTATGCGTGTGGGAGGTTAGACATTACGGAGTTAGACAAGGAGAGCAAAAGGTGGGTCTTAAAATTAATTTGCAGAAAACGAAAGTAACGTACAACAACCTCGGAAGAGAGCAGCGCTTCGAGATAGGTAATAGTGCACTTGAAGTTGTAAAATACTATGTCTACTTAGGGCAGGTAATAACCGCAGAGCCTAACCACGAGATTGAAGTAACTAGAAGAATAAGAATGGGGTGGAGCACATTTGGCAAGCTCTCTCAAATTATGACATGTAGATTGCCACTATCCCTCAAGAGGAAAGTTTATAACAGCTGTATCTTGCCGGTACTTAGCTACGGAGCAGAAACCTGGAGACTTGCAAAGAGGGTTCAGCTTAAATTGAGAACGACGCAGCGAGCAATGGAAAGAAAAATGGTAGGTGTAATCTTAAGAGACAAGAAGAGAGCAGAGTGAATTAGGAAACAAACGGGGGTTAAGGATATCATAGTTGAAATCAAGAAGAGGAAATGGACATGGGCCGGGCATGTAGCGCGTAGACAGGATAACTGCTGGTCATTAAGGGTAACTAACTGCATTCCCAGAGAAGGCAAGCGGGTTAGGGGGAGACAGAAGGTCAGGTGGGCAGATGAGATTAAGAAGTTTGGAAGTATAAATTGGCAGCAGCAAGCACAGGACCAGGTTAACCGGCGGAACATGGGAGAGGCCGCCTCTTTGTCCTGCAGTGGACGTAGTCAGGCTGATGATGATGATGATGATGAGCAGATTATACTGTGAAGTAAACTTTATAGGGGGGGGGGGGGGGTAAAGTTCATTATTTTGTTGACTGCAGCTGCTTTGTGTTCGCTGTTTTTTCCGTAACTACAGCTAACTGAAGATGACCGTACTCCCTTCCGCTACTAACGAAGATTGCCAAACTTGCTTTGCAAAAAGCTTCGTTTAAGTTCCTTGGAAGACGATGTGGCACGAGCCGCATCTCTGTTGTAAAAACAGGCAAGTTGAACGGAGTTCGCGGGTGCCCGTGTGACAGGGCTATAAGTTTCTTTACATTGCCACCACCTTGATGTCAGTATCTTGAGGTGCTCTGCATCCTGCTCAGTCATGCGGCATGCACTTTAAAATTGATTTTAAATATGTTCCAGCCTATATTTGCCCTTGATATTTCATAGATGTTGTGTATGTCTCCACATGAATCTATCTCACTTTTGCCTTCAAGGGTGTGGCCCTTACACGAGTCTCTTCAGTTACTCATTCTACAAAGTTATGGTAACATTAAGGAGAACTAAATGGTTGGCCATTACCTTATAGTTGAGGTTGTGCATGTAAGACACTTGAGCTTCACCTTCAAGAGTAGAACACGATAGCGTTATCTGGCCCAGTGCGCATTGCCTTCAACCTTGTCACAAAAAAAGGAACATTGGTACACATAACATTGGCCGTTTCAAACTATCCTGAAATGCCTACTGCTAGTACAGTTGCTAACTGCGTACTACGCCGTAGCTCTACGTTTTGCAAATTGGCCTAGTACTTATTATGCGTCTGCACAATGCCACACACATCTGCACACTTTGCAATGGGTGGGCAGCTTTGAACCAACCACTGGTTGTGCAATTAAGATGTTTTGATGCCTGGTATGATTCTACAACTCTGCCACACAGTATTACATGTGTCAAGGAGGCTCTGTCAGCTACTTGAAGTTCTTGTGTGGTGTTTCTTTTCTCTCTCTTTATTTTTTCTTTTTTTCTCCAAATCAGTTTCAAGCAGTGGCATAGCACCATGGTAGAACACCTTCGCTCACTGAAGACCAGAAATTTTTTAATAATTTATTTATTTGCATTAATCTGTAAATTTTCACTCACGGACAACGTCGATTTTTCGCTCACAACCAAAGAAGCCGACACCAGAATATCTGTTAAATGGTGAAATGAATTCTCTAACAATTTGGCGTTAAAAATGTTGAATTACACCCTCATGGTTATTTTTGGTAACTGTAGTGAGACACTGCAGTCAGCTGCCAGTATGCCTATACTGCCATCTGAACAAGTGAGCATCAACACGTCTGAAGAAATTACTCAGAAAAGGCAGCTCTCTGACTGGTAAATTCTGGTGTCGTCTGAATCAAAAATTTTAGCCTTTTTTAATTCAGTGCGTCGGTGGCAACAAGAAAAGAGAAGCAATGCTACCAGAGCAGGATGAGCATCTTAGCGCCCTGTGGCTAAATTAAGTGTGCATGCTTACTTCTGGTGAAAATTGCTCAATAGAAAGTGCTGTGCCCTCAACTGTGTGCCGTCAACTGTGTCTCCGGCATCTGCTTATGTGTTGCTGTTACCACCTGGGGTATATACAATATACGCAAACATCAAGTTAACCACCAGCCTGACACAATAGTGCATTTAATTTAACAACACCCTCTGACAGCACCTTAGAAGAGCTGTGAAGGTCAAGTAGCAGTGAGGAAGTAGCATTTGTGATCATCTTGGTGTCCCCTGTTCTCATTGCCATCTAGATTATAGAACTGGTGCGGCGGCCCCGCGAGCGTGCGGACGTGCGGAGCCTTATGGACACCATCACGAGCAAGGAAGAGGAAGAGAGGCACCAGCGGCTGCTTGCAGAGAATGAGGACCTCAAGAAGCAGATTGCTGAGGTACCTTAAATATGATTAATGAAGACTCTAGAGCTGCGTGGAAGTATGTAATGAAAGAACAGCGAAGGAAAGTGATACGAGGTTGCTGCTTTATTTCGTTGAAAAGAGAAACAAGTGTTTAGCTCATGTGTATGCGTTTCCGTGATGAAAACAGAGTTCAAACAGTAATTTTTTTAATTGTTAAATAAAGGTCACTTTTGTAGCAATACTGATTGTTGGCCTAGTTGGTACTTGCTTACTGACATGATTTGGCTGCAAATAATACACACACACAGAGTAAAGAAACACTCAACGACAAGCACAAGCGGCACTTCCAACTAAAGTAGACCGGGCAAAAATCCAGACTTAAGTAACAACATACAAACATGCGCAGTCTTCGCACAGCCTTACGCTATCCAGCTATCGAACAATTTCTCTTCCGATAAGTACAATGTCACCGACGGTTCGCTGATACAATTTTCACCTTTCTTTTTAATGTAATATGCTTCCATCAATTCACGCGCAGTTTTATGCCTACTGCTACCTAGAATCTTAACCTCGGTAAAACGTAGTACACACCCGCAGGCTTTACAATGCATAGGCAAATGCGCCAAGCCATCTTTCATTAAATTTAATTCATGCTCCCTAACCCATTCATTAATACAGCGCCCGGTAGTCCCGATGTACGAGTTGCCACAAGAAAAAGGAATCTCATAAACAACGCCTTTGGCACGTTTCCCGTACATCGTGCCATGTTTCTTGCCAACCCTGGTGGCTCGCCTCCACCCCCCGAGCAGTTCTCGGGCACAGCTGAGCCAGTTTTACGGGCGCGGAAAAGGCGACAGGTACCCCATACCGGCCTGCTACCTTTTCAGGTTGTGGGAGACCTTATGAACATAAGGAATCACTGCAGGTCTTACGGTTTCAGCTCCTTGTTACCCCGTGGCAGATCTAGTACCTTCACTTTCTCTTTTCCGCAAAAGCGCTTTGAAGACAGCTGTCAATAATGAGTCAGGGAACTTCGCAGCCTCAAGTCGCTGGATCTGGTTCTCGAATGATGCCTGCATCATATGCGTGCACGATTTTTCGAGAGAAGATGCCAGGCAGAGCGTAGCAATAGCACGCTTGACTATTTTTGATTGGCAAGAGTCATACGGCATTACCCCTTTCTTAGCGCGAAGAAAAAATATTGCCAGCACGTTTGCCCGTTGTGAAAAGTTAAACGGAGATCTCCGCTGCACCTGTCGCCTTTTCCGCGCCCGTAAAACTGGCTCAGCTGTGCCCGAGAACTGCTCGGGGGGTGGAGGCGAGCCACCAGGGTTGCGGCAAGAAACATGGCACGATGTACGGGAAATGTGCCAAAGGCGTTGTTTATGAGATTCCTTTTTCTTGTGGCAACTCGTACATCGGGACTACCGGGCGCTGTATTAATGAATGGGTTAGGGACCATGAATTAAATTTAATGAAAGATGGCTTTGCGCATTTACCTATGCATTGTAAAGCCTGCGGGTGTGTACCATGTTTTAACGAGGTTAAGATTCTAGGTAGAAGTAGGCATAAAACTGCACGTGAGTTGATGGAAGCATATTACATTAAAAAGAAAAGTGAAAATTGTATCAGCGAACCGTCGGTGACATTGTACTTATCGGAAGAGAGATTGTTCGATAGCTGGATAGCGTAAGGCTGTGTGAAGACTGTGCATGTCTGTATGTTGTTACTTAAGTCTGGATTTTCACCCGGTCTACTTTAGTTGGAAGTGCCGCTTGTGCTTGTCGTTGAGTGTTTCTTTACTATGTGTGTGTATTATTTGCGGCCAAATCATGTCAGAAAGGTCACTTTGTTGTTCTTCACATTGCCACAGACCTGTATAATTCACTGCAACTCTGCTTTGCATGTTGAACTTATTTACAAATGACATAGAAATGTAACAGTGGTTGACAGGAAAGCTAATTTGGGATTTCCTGCTCAGCAGCAGAGTACCTTTGTCATGATACCAAATTGTCACAAGCCAACACACATGCAACATGAAGATAGGATGTGTGAAAGAGATAGGAAAGTCATCTGAAAATGAGACACAGATAACAATTTGCATTCTAAAACTCCGTGTCTCGTGGGCATTGGTATGACACTCTCGTGGACAGTAGCAACAGCCACTTCCCTCAGTTCATCGGCGTGAAATTAAGGAACTGGCTGCTGATAATAATAGAGAATCATAATTTCTGCCAAAGAAATTATGTATAAGCACTACAAATGTGCGTTAATTTTATTTCTGAACTGATGAAATCCCCTTTCATTTGTCCCTGCAGAAGGAGGAGCAGATACAAGTTCTTAACCAGAAGCTGCAGGAGCGACAGCGGCTAGCCCACCAGACTGCATTGCCTGCTAGCGGTGAGAGGGTGCGTATTGCACTGCCACCCACCTATGCAGATGGCCTGCTCGCCCCCAAGGAGCCCGTGGCCATTGACCCTGTCTCCGATTCTGGCTTTGTCACGGGCACCTCTCTGGTTGGCCGTGGCTCACGTCTCTCCCGTTCAGACTTTGAATTCTCTGAGTCATACCTTTAATCCGTGACATACGATCAGGCTGCACAACACTCTGTGTGGCTGCTGGAGTTTGCCATTTGCTATAAGGCCCTCGATGGCTAATGTACAAACTTTCATAGGGGATTTCTTTGCATAGGGGTACTTAGGAGAGGATGAGCAGCAAATGATGGCTTGCTCTTTATTCCTGTAACTTTCAACCCTCATGTTCTCTTTGTCTTGTGCCACAGTTCAGAAAGAGGGTTGTTTTCAGGTAGGCTTGCCCCCATCTGTGAAGTTCGCGCTGGTGTGCTTTGGTGGCTTGTTTCTGTTTGGCACGGCATATTCTCTTGGCATCTTATTAAGTAAGGAGGCTGGAAGAATAGACACTGCATATTACCGCTTTTGAGACACTTGCTTTGTATTTTTAAGAAATAACAGGTACAGTGAAACAGGAGACAATGGCAGAAAGTTAAAGTATTGATTTCATTTTATTTTACAGAACAGAATTATTTTTATGAGGGATATGTGCAGATGTATATATTGTGGAATAACCTCACGGCTCTGTATGCATTTTTTTTACTTCAAACTATGTTCCTTTTTTTTTGTCAAGGTTTCAAATACTCACTGTCACCAGTGGTGGTCTTGTACCCACAGGTAATAGGCAGTTATAGTTTACTCTTAGTTTAATAGCAGGGGTAAGGTAATAGCATTACCATGATGGAAACGTTCGTTGCGGACAGCACCTTATATTTTAGCAGGATAGCGTTTACATGGTTTACGTGCCCCAACTGGGTCTGTGGCACCACCTACCGGAGGGTTGATAAGTTAAGGAACAGTGAAAAGGAAAAGAAAACAGGAATGTTTGCCTGTATCACCATGCGAGGCGATGTTGCAAGTTTTTTAGTAATAGTAAACATAAATAAATATGAACCAGGCACGAAACGTGAAAAGATTTTATGTTGCCAATTTGGTTACATCAATCTTCTAGTTAGGCCTAGAGACGTTCAAAATGGGAAGCTACCTCAAAAACTATGCTAACTTATCCATAATACTCGGTCATCAAGGCTAACTGAAGGCAAGCAAAGCCACTTTAAACAATAGATTGCTACGAACAAAGTGAATCTTTCAAAAACTGCCAAAATCGCTTCTTACCTACACTACGTGAACCACGCTAACACGGTAACATTACTGCGCATTTGCACTTCGATCCCGCTATCCCGGTAAGCCTGCTACCCCACTAAACGCAGTAAACTAATATTATCCAATACGTTCTTTCATTGCACAATGAATGATGCAATTCCTTCTCACTCCGTCATGCCAACGAGTTTTGTTTTTTCATTGCTCATCTCCTTAGTTCTCAGTTCATCATTCTAGGTGGCAAGCATCTTGAATCTTGCATTGTTATCATAGCATGAAAATATTTATCAGCCAGTTACCTGCTCATAATTTTAGTCATTTTTTACGTGGCTTTTGCTATGGTGTGCTGTCCTTTCTCCCGACAACTTTTTTTTATTCGTGTAATTGGTGAAAATATTTTATTTTAGCTCATTTACAAAGTCCATTTTCTGTGTGCTTTTCTTGCCATCAGTGGTTCTTGCTTTTCCTCTTGTAAAAGCCTTATAAATTGCCTTGCTGCTTGTACAATGTTTTTCGTGCGGGCAGTAATAATTTTTCAATGCTGACTGTTGTTCTTGGGAGATCATGTTTTCCTTATAAAGAAAAATCAACTTTACGTGGAGCAAATTTGTAAGGCTGTATGATACCACAGCTAGTGATAATTTTTTTTTCACCTCGCCACAAGAGCAAGGATGAGTGTCAAGTGTTTATAAAGTTTGCTTATTATGTGACTAAGTGAAATGTGCATAAAAATAAAAACAGTCAGGGATGTAATTGTCCAACAAAACAGTTACTGTGGCACTCCATAACTTATTTTTTATTGTTTTTCTTCCTTTTTTGTTTTTAGGCATTTAAACTTTATTTATTAACTCTAATGTACTAGTCAGTGCATAATTGTTGTTTGGTATGACTGAACATGCAACACGGTCCAGCAGCAGCACAACATGCTCACATTGCCACAGCTAGAACCATAAACAACAAAATTTAGCCTATGTTTTGGAAGAAAGGCTCAAAAGCTACAAAATACAATGGAGTCTTCTCGGTGATCTTGCACCACACGCACACTACGTGGATCTATGCGTGGATCCAAAATCTATATTTCATATGTGGAATTCCTATTCCATTGTGGATCGAAAGTTGAACAAATGTTTCACACTTCTATGGCAGGGCAGCACCCCACAAAATCGTGGAAGAAAAGTGCGGCTTTTACACTAGTGTATACAGTATGCTTATTTTTCTTTATAATATGCGATATACTATACCGTTCGAATTCAATTCAAAATTGTTCGATCAAATCACTACTCGCTTGAATTTGCTTTGAACCTAAGATTTACTAATTGCACAAGCCTACTGTCGAGTAAACTTTGTGCATTATGCATTACAAGGAAACAGAAGAGCAATTACAAAAGGAGCGTTTACTTAGTTCTGCGTGACTGAAAATAATGACTTCAAGCTCTCTTGATCAGTTTAATTCAGTGTGCTATGTTTGTGTCTTTCTAGTGTAAATCAGTGTGCCATCATAACTGAAAACATTGTCTTCATTTGTGACATATGCGACTATTAGTGTCGTGTTCCTTTTCAAAACAGACTCCTAAACTGTAATGGAGACCCTTATGTATTCAGAGTAACATATTTTGACATATGAAGTTAAGAAGCAGCAGTTATGCAAATAATATCTTCGATGCACACACTACTTTTAAAATGTTTACATGTCCTAAGCTGTACAAAATTAACCTCTTTTATTTGTTTTTAGTTGCCGATTTTCGTTACTGTTGTTTGATGCATGTCTTAACGTTTCAAACTTTCTGCCGCAGAGCACATTGCCTTGTTTACTTCATTATTATTTTTTAATCTTGTTTTGTGGTATTGTTGCATGTTATTTATTGTAATTGTGAGAGCATATTTTGAATTCATGTTTAAGCTGCTTTAAGTCTTCATAAGTTTATGCATTTATATGTAGCGCTGACTTTTTCTCCCTGATTAGGATCAAAAGCATCAATGAAAGTGTGCCATGGTATTTATTACTATAAAAAAACACTAGGCACTGCTGAGAACTGCAATTCGGTATGCACTTGCACTATATAAAACATGCATTTGTACAACACTGCATCGGCAAAATATTTCATACTTGTAAGTCACCTTTAGGTAGTGTGCACTTTTAAGTGTTTTGTGTTCAGAAACGATCACGATCCTGCATTCCTGAAAATTTAGAAGCCTTATTTTTGTAATCTCGTTAAAATGTGATTAGCATCATGTCTGTTCCACAAAATCATTACACACCTTAGGGCTGGCTTCCCAGCTTGAGAAAATAATATTTTGAATTAAACCCTCATCACATAGGCACTCAAAAGACTTTTGCGCGAGAAGAGTTCTTACAAAAAAGACTTTTTTAGCCTGCAGACACACAACAGAGAGCGATCTCTTATACATTAGCAATCTTTTTGGAAGCCGAGTTCGTCAGTCTCTTTTATGGGTGTAAAAGAGTAGCCTCAAAACCAGCAGGTGCCAGCAATTATAAATTGGTGACAAAAAATGGCAAATGGTTTTTGCTCTGTCAGCTAAGCTCATCATAAAAATTTATTAATTTGATATCTCATATAAAGCATGCTAAACCTTTTAAAGCTTATTTTCTTCTCCACTCTCATAAGCTTGTAGAACGGGTCGGCGATATCACATGGGGGCGCTAAGCGTGTCGCATGCACATACTCAAGAAAAGTGGCATCGTAGCATGTATGGCCAATGGCAGTGACCAAACCGCCCTCGATAAGCACAAAGAACAATGGCTACAATGGTTGGAATAACATATATTTATTTTGACTGATTCTCTTTCAAAAAGCTTTCGGTAGTGAGTTTAAAAAAAAACACTCAAAAGAGATTGTCGGTACCATGTGTCTGCGAGACAACGCTTCTTCTTTAGGAAGTATTTTAACTTTGTAAATGACTGCTTACATAAAAGAGTTTCTGCGTGCTCGTGTAACAAGAGTTATCTGGGTTCTGCAATTTTCCATCTAGTCCAATGGGGAAATCATGCCAGCTCACATATTTTATAACAGGCTGCGCTCAATACAAATGTTAACAGCTGCCTAAGCAATGGTTAGTCATTCACATCCTCATGCTTTTAAAAGGAATCGCATTTTGAAATATATAATTGTTTCTGTCTGCAATTTCTCATGTTTTCATCACTTCCTTGCTTGGTTGCTTGTTTGTTTTCTGTTGTTTCTGTGCTTTGATTTCATGTTTTATTGAAAATGATGTTATGGATGTGCGTCTTGTACCAACACCTCAATTATGTGGACTAGTCATCCCGAGGCTTTTTAAAAGACTAATTCAATTCTACTATACTTTCTCAAAAAATTAGCTGGAATGTGATAATTTTGTTGATTTATTCGTCCTTGTTGATTAAAGTTGAATTTTTTTAGCAACACAGAAAGTAATAGTACTGGAAAGTCTAGAGCTGAAGTGTATTATTGTATGCTGTTTATTTATCTCCAAAATGTTGTAGCATAATGTAGCAGTCTTAACAAATATGGCAGCAATATGTCAGGTCAACAATGTCAGCATCGGATGTGCTACCTGTTTGTGTGCATGATTTCATTTTCTCACGGACATCCACATGCACATGTAAACATGCAACACGCATAATGCTAGGCAAGTTATGAACAGCCTAGGTTTCTTTCTTAAAGTAATGCATAAGTCCTTTGTCATATGTTTCATCCCTCATATCTGGTCAAAACATGTGTCACAGTTGGTTTCCTCATCTCTTGTTATTTCTTTTCATCGCTGTATTTTTTTTTTTTGCCCACTATGGCTGAAGTCCAGTGCATCTGGCAAATGGGCTATGTCATGTTGCTTTTACTGAACCACTTCAAGAAGGGTATGCACAACATATTTATTTTTATAATTTGTTTCACAGTGTATTTATTTACATATGGGACCTGTGTTCCTAGTACTTTCTATATACATATATATGATATACACAATTAAGCTATCATTACATGCATTTCAGTGACACGTTTTACCAAGATGAGGTCACACAGTGTGTGTATGCTAATATAAATGCATGCACTGTTGTTGCAAATTTATACTACATTGTGCAGAACACCTAGTTTGTGTTGGTCGAGTTCATGTTGTGCAAGATAGTACGATGAAAAATGTCATATCGAGAGAGCATGTGACTGCTTTTAGTGCTATTGAATTGTTATGTAAGCAGTCACATTGTTTAGCAAGCTGGTCTGTTAAAAGGGATTTGCTTGCCACATGCACTCTCTTTTACACTGTCATACGTCTAGCCATGGCAAATGTTTTATGAATCTGTCTGGTTGCACAAGTAATTACCATGGAGGTTAGGTGCATGTTAAAAGGGAATTTCATTAGCACATACTGCGAGATTCATCTAACTTGTGCTCCATGAGCACTTAAGCTTTGACCATCACATAAATGAAAACAGCGTTAAAGATGAAAAGGGTTGACAGACTATGTTCTACCACATTTGTAGCTGTAGGTTGGTGAAAAAATATCTTCCTTGAAATTGTTAGTCGCCTCCTGTGGCATCTGACCATGGCTAGTCAAATGAAAGCTTAAGCATTCAGGGTTAAGTAACCTCTCAATCAATTTACATAAAATTTTGAATTGAAAATTAAAAAAAAATGAAATATAACTTTAGTGGTAAATAAGAGCACATTAGTCTGATTTAAGCTTTCCCTTTTCTCTCGTTAAAGTCATTTTGAAATTTGGTACATTTGCTACATGATGGCAAGACTGTGATACCACGAAAAAAAAAAATCAAAATTACACAGACTACCCTAGAGCTTTTAAAATAGATAAAATTGATAAATTATATACAAATTTAGAACGTTGCACTGTTTTCAAAATAGAGCTTAGCCGAACTTTCTTAATGTGATAGCACTTTGGCATCATATTTTATGTTAGCGGCAATATTTTATTTACTTGTAATTCTCTGTTAAGTGCAGTCTGCAGAAGTATGATCTTTTATTGTTGAGTTAAGCTTTTTCGTGAACTTAAATATACTCTGTGTTTAAGTGAAAAAATTTGCTAGTAACATTAGCTCAAATTTTGCATTAGAATTGTCAGGCATTTTATTGAAATCAGTTCACTGGTTGCCTAATGATAGTGTTTTATAAAGGAAGACCTGAATATAAGCTTTCTTTTTTTTTCTTCTTTATGTCTTTCTTTTTTTTAGGGTTTCGTTGCATTTAAACTAAAAGTTTGCTTACTGTAAGATTTTGTATAAAATAAAAAAGAGACATGAACTCTTGAGTTTCATATCTAGTGTGATTCTTCTGTTTGGGTAGAAAGAAATTCAGATAGCAAAACTTTGGCATTCTTATGAAACTTTCTCTTTATACACTTTTTCCACTGAACAAGTAACAGACGAGTAATGTAATTCTCTCACATAATTTAAGGTTTCTTTATACTTAGAGACACCCCACAAGTGGCTCCCACTGCAGAGCATTTAGTGGTGCACTTTTTAAATGCATCCTTTGCTGGGTCCCTTCAGAAAGTGTTATGCACTGGAGGTCTGAAAGCACCATCGAAGGAGTGCGCAACTGCACAGATTTTTGCAAAGGTTTTAGTTGTGGAGATAAAAGAAAATTAAATGTTGTTGCAGTGCTGCTAGGAGGAAGGCTATTATCGCTATGGCCGAGTCTTTTTCATATTTACCTAATTAGCACCTGCAAGCGATACCTTTTCCCCCATCTTTGCTTGCACAAGAGTCAAGAGCGTGTGCAGGCTTACTTTGCATGCTTGGCTGTTTTTTCAGCAAGCTGAGGTGTAATAATTTGCAGGCACAATCTTTAACACATGGTTCAAGGCAGTGTGTGCGAGAACATTTGTACTTGCAAGAAAGAAAAACAAAAACCTGTCTCCCTGCTACTTATAAAGGAACAGCAATTTTTGCTCCATCTGTTTGCACATTGGCTAACACTACATATTTTGTTTTAATAACCTAAAAGCTAGCTTTTTTTATAATTATTATTGTAGACACTGCCAAACAATGTATATGACATTTACTGTTTGCATGTTCATGCTGCAGTGAAAAGCATGCGAGACGCTTAGAATTTGAGGTTGCAAGTTGCATCAAATACAAATTCTGGTCTTTTTTTTTTCTATTTGCTTTGGTGGTAGTAGGATAACAATTAAGGTGTTATTTAAAGTGTATCCTCTATAGTGTTATGAATGAGCCTCAGTGTGCTCCTGCTTATTTCAGTTCACTGCGTGGGCATTACTCTGCTTCCACAGTTTAGTGTATCCTTTTATGCTTTCTTTCTTCATCACCGGAATGTTTTAAAAAGATGCATATTTTAATAATTTAGAATCTTCCATATGCTACACTTTCTGTGCACACAATTTTGGTGGAGAATTTTAACTGAGTGTATTCTTGTTTAGGCACTAGATGCCATGAACTCGGTTTTGCAGTGTTTTTCTCAAGGAAATGCACACTGCATCATTTATTCATTGAAAAAGCCCTGGGGCAAGACTTTTGCTGAGTTGACAAAAGTGGCTAGTCCTGTAGCAGTGTTTATGATCTAGTCATGAAAAAAATGTTTGTTGTTAGAGACCTTTCAGTCACAGTTAGCTAAGAGTACAATAACCCATCTTTACCATGCACTATGACCTCATGTCTGCACATTAGGTATTTGTGATGCCATACTGTGCAAACAAATGTGCAATTTTATTTCTATTGTATGTATGCCACCTGTTTCCAGTGTGCTGCTTCATCAAGCTTCCAGGAAAGAAAAAGACGGCTTTTATACTTGTTAGGCAAACAATCCCAACTGTGATGGATCATGTACTCCACTAGGACACCCTCGTGCAATGCACGTCTCTATGCGATGTAGTGCTAGAGCTGTTATAGAAAGTGGGGCTACTAGACAGTGAACAAGCGATGCAAGCTGTTACTTTTTTCCTTCTTTCTTTGAAGACACAAATGCAGGGCATGAAAGCATTGCTATGTTGAAGTAAATACGCAGTTGTATATAAAAATTTTCCACTAGTGGCACATCTAGTGGTTCTCATTCATTAGCAGGTGTAGTAGTGCTGTGGCACTCATTTGCTCGGCAAAAAATGAAGTTTATTGCAGCACTTCTTTCTTGGTCTCTTTGGTTTAGATAAAAATCTTGCAGACGAGTACGCTCTGCCTGAACATTAGGTGTAGACTGTGAGACCACTTGTGGTAGAGTCCACTATTTCTTGTTAGCAATGCTGGTCCCTAGTGTGGAACTTCTCCACCAAACTTGTAGATAACTGTGAATAGCATGCGTGTACAGGTTGTTTAAAGAGGCTCTCATTGCTGTAGATATGTAGCCTCTCCTACCTACACCCACTCTGAAGCATCTGCCTATGTCATTGCCTCCTATGTGTTGTGTTGTGCACTTTGCAAATTGAGGCAAGAGCTTCATGTCTGTTGGAACTTGATTTTGACGTAAGGTTAGATTTAATTTTTGATAATTGTCTAGATTTGGTGAAATATGAGCACAGTTAAACTATGTTTGTTTATGAATTTGGGGAAATGTATTGTTAGTATAGTGCACACATCAACGATAACACATGCAGATCTTCTTCTGCCCTCTCTGAATGTGCCCTAGGTGAGAAAGCCACTTCAACTTGCTTTGGCTGTTGAGCTCTACAACTGTGTCGCTGTAGAGCTAATGTTTCATTTTTGTTGTCAGTCTGTTGTGTTCTGCATAATTTTTTCAAGGTGTGCGGATCACTGTTTTAAAATAAAAGCTGTTATACAGAAACTTGGTCACAGCTCTGCTTATTTTATCCTTCTCACTTATGGTAGTGTCCACTAGGGAGGCTTGAAAGTTAGCGTATTAGGCAGATGTAGCATGCTATTCAGATCACACATTTTAGGTCACTTTATTGTGTGTAACTGCTGTGGCCATGATATGAGTATTATGCAAGACCATACACATCCAGGGACAAAGCATTTTCATGCTGTGCTGCAAGATTTGTCAGCTATACTGCAAATTATCAACACACAGATCTGCAGGGCTGCCGTTAAATTTTGCCAAACATCACTTTTAAGCATTTGTCAATCTGGAATGTAAGTATTATGTGCCCTAGCAGTATGCAATTCTGCAATATTGACAGATGACTGCGGAAATTGCCTTGACTTCTCATTGATACCTAGTAGTGTGACAACAGAATGCATCGCCATCAGTTTGCGTTATGTGCATCAGTCAGTTTAAAATTGCCTATAATTGATACCAGACAATATATTGTTGCACACATGCTGTGGAAAGATGCTACAGAACCAACAAATTGGTCAGCGAATGCCGTGGCCATTGCTGCTTGATTTAGTTTCTGTCATCACACAGCTGTAGTTTGTAAAGCATGTTTCTTGTCTATGTTCCCAACAATAGTTGTGCATATATTGTGTTGCATAAAAAACTTCGGCTACTTTTTGTATGCTGCACCGGTAACTAGATTCTCTGAAAAATATTGCATTCCTGTCCAGTCCAGCTGTATGACTGTGTCTTAAGTGTAAATCATTTGTGTTTGTTCTGTAATGTTTTGTAAAGTTTGTGTACTGCCAAATATTAGATGCCAATAAATTGCATTACCATTGCTGTGGTATTTTTTCTTTTTGTGCAGTGCCTTCTGTGAGCTGAAAAATAACATTGCCTTCTAAAATATTTACAATCATCACCTCAGTACTACGTCCTCCAACAAATCATTAATACTGTTGCCATATAGCACATAGAGGAGCCTACCTCAGCCCAGGATGACTTTGGCAGTATGGCACAAGCATGGCTAAACATTCAACACATGTTACAGGGCACTGAAATATAATTAAATATACTGCTACCTAGTATAGTCTTGTCACTAAGTAAGTGGGTAACCATCTAAAACCTATGCAAGCATGTAGCAACTTATATAAAAGTCGCTTAATACAGTGCTTTTGCTAGCACTCACTCGGTCTCTCGTATAGCTAGGCATTAGCAACTGCCGTATGCACCATCCGTAGTGTTGGAAATTTGTCAAAATCTGCTTGCCACTTGTGCATTAGGTATAATGATCATAAATCATTGACTGAAAGGTGAATGATTTTATTATCATTATACCTAATCAGTAGTACATGTACAGCATACAGTTAAGTGAAAAGTATAGATGTTACTACATTATTTGTACTCGACAAAATTGGGGTGGACCAAAAATATTTACTAGTTTAAGGAGTGCATGGAAGATAATAGGCAGAATGTGCATGTGCAATCAATGACACTATCTATCCACTGCATGGGGATATAATGGAATTCAAATCCATTGCTTAATTTAACAACATTCATTTTGAGTAGAAATTTCACTTTCTCAAGAGCTGACACTGTACCTCCCATCACAGTGGTCTACTGGTTATGGTGCTCCACTGCTGACATGAAGGTCATGGGGTCAAATCGCGGCTACAGTGGCCACTCTTTCAGTGGAAGTGAAAAATGTTTGAGGCCCGTATACTTGGATCTAAATATATGATAAGGAACCTCGGGTGGTCTAAATTTGTGGAGCTTCTCACTATGGCATTTCTCATAATCATACCATTGTTTTGGGATTTTAAACCCATACAATGATAAACCCTGCGCTTATGCACTTGGAGTGAGTTAGGCTGTGCACACACGACACCCTGTGCATTGTGAATGCCACTAAGCTTTGTCATGGGACAGTGACCAAATGGACATTTGAATGTAAGTATCCAAAGTGATAGTCATTTAAGCTTTAAGTCATACACCAGTATACAGCCCCAATGTAATCCCGGTCAGACTAGGAAATTTAGTTTAATTTTGAAGGTTTGTATTTGGCCTTATTGAGTGCCACTTTGGTAGCTTGACCAAACGAAGTGTCTTAAATGGCAATGGCCATTAAGCACTACAGAAACCATTTGAAGTGATTATAGTACCTTGAGAAGGAAAGTCGTCAATATTGTTTTATTAAAACATGCTTTCGACAGCTAGTGCTCCTGGGCTAATTTCTCATTTTTTTTAAAGCACACATACTTGAGCATGCTGGTCATTCATGTTCATTTGTAGTGCACAATAAGATCAAGGACAGAAAAGAACTACGTGCTGTGTTCATGCTGTTCTTCTCCGTCCTTGTTCTTAATGTGCACTATAAAAGTGAAATTTCATTTCCTAATGGCCTGAAACACATGCAGAGTGAACTGCTAAAGCAGTTGGAAAACTAAAAGTGGGCAGTCTGAGAAAAAGACTTCTTGTTGATTTAATCAAATGTATCTGGAATTATGCAAGAATACCAGACATTTTTTTTTATTACTCTACAAGTGCTGTTGTCAAGACCGTGCACTTCTGAGGGAGCCACACAAATGAAGCAAGTTCACTGAATGCCCTTGTAGTAAAGTGCATTCTACAGTAAGTACCACACTTGTAGTATAATAATGACGCTCGATGTCATTCTACTATGTGAAGCAGATGACCAGCAGAGCTGGCAGGCACATCCCAGTTTGCTCTCGTAGCCATTATTCATAAGTGCACTACTTCTAGGGCGTTTTCACAATGTGCACCCGCCCCGTACTTGAGACGGACAACCACACCAATGAACTGCCTCAATTTTACTGATGTGGCATCATATATACCGACTGGTTTTATCACTTTGATATATTAGATTTCCCACTGTTCGCTAGAGCAATGGAACCCCTGGTGCCCTTTAGGAAACAGTGGAAGAACTAATGCATATGGACAGAAACACTAAGAAACCAAAAGATGTCTCATATTTGGCTCTTGCTAAAAAAATTAGAGGTTTTAAGTGCCAAAACCATGACACGATTATTAGGCATGACTTAGGAGATTCCAGATTACTTTTGATCGCCAGGGTTTCTTTAATGTGCACCTGAATATAAGTACATGAATCTAATTGCATTTTGCAGGAATTCAACTTGCATCCTAAAGCTTAGCAGCGCGACACCTTCCCGGCTAAGCTACCATGCAGGGTTATAAAATTGCACATCTATTGCGGCAGCTTCTAAACGATACTATGAAAGAGAACAAGCTCAGAGCAAATACGTGCACTGGATAGGGCTGTCGCATATTTTAGAAGTTTAGGAGCCAACATGGAAAGCATATTCCAGAATAACTAGAAATGTGTCACTGTTGCTATCACTTCTAGCTGTTTGAATAGTATATTTTGGTTGCTTACGTCAGCCTTGTACAGCCCAGCACTTGCCGTCGGACCATTCGTAAGGTACATTAATTATTGAATCTACTGAATTAAACTTCATTTAGTAATCAAACTATGTATTTTAGAAGTAGATATTTTATTTATGTAGCAATATATTAGTATAACGGAAGTATAAACTAATTTGGTACTTTTATTTTACTAAGCAAGTCTGATAACTTGCCAATTATTGAAAAACCTGAAGGCAATAATCTACCACATTTCAAATCAGCTGAAAGCATTCCTTTCACGACAAAAGCGTTAAATGTCTGTTTCAAGGTCTGTGAAACAAATGATGAAAAAAAAAAAAGCGAGCATGCCAGCTGTGTGTCGACTTTGCCAGCTTTGACTACGCACTGTTCACATGAGTAAAAAAAAAGGGGGGGGGGGGGGAATAGAATCTTTTCTATGAATGTGAACAGGAAAGCTTACTTGGACCTTACGTTGACCTGCTGTCAAACTTTATGCTGATTTGCTGAACTTTATGACGAACGGCAACAACTGACAAAGGCAAGTGCATTGATTTGGAATTTCACAACTAGCACATGTGTAAAAGCGATACAGCATGCGTCATGCAACATCACAGATCATAAGGTAATGTGTGTGTGTGGATACCACGAAGGAACGAAAGGTACCTTTTTCCTTCCTCCGTGGTGGATACCATAGGTTGGCAATGGCAACACTTGTGGAGCTCACTCACTTTCACTCACGAAGTACATTTTGCGCTTAGGGCTCACTCGGACTCTCGCTCACACAAATTTTCTTCAACCAGACTCCCTTCGGCTCGAACTCTCCAAAATGTTGCTCACCAGGACTCACGCAGTCTCCCACTCATGGCTCGATCCGAGTCCGTCCCCAGGATTTCCGGCCCACGAGCAGGAGGCGCGCTTTCCCGCATGGTGGGGGCGGTGCCCCATGTTGTAGGCCCGTGTGCTCAGATTTGGGTGCACGTTAAAGAACCCCAGGCGGTCGAAATTTCCGGAGCCCTCCACTACGGCGTCTCTCATAATCATATGGTGGTTTTGGGACGTTAAACCCCACAAATCAATCAATCAATGGGGGCGGTGCCCCGCATCACTCTATGGGAACGGAGAGCAAAACGATAATAACTCGTCTGCCTTTTTGATTTTCTCATTGCTTTCCCGGGTTCAAGTAGCAACTGTATGAATCTTTCTTTTGCCGGAGTTATAGTATCGTGGTTGTAATAGTGCGAGTTCCCCAGCTTATTAAAAGATAATGTACAGCGCCTATGGGCGCTCTCAGAAATATCGGCTGTTTTACCGCATTTGAATCGCTACCGTGGAGCCGTGCTTGAAGATATCCAATTGCTTTCTGGGATTTAGGTACTGGCATATGTCTAGTTCATGATGGTATAGAGCGCGTTTGAATCGCGTGGTAAAAAAAAGTTCCCTGGCCAGTTTTGTTCGGGGTGTGAGAGCTGTCAGGCCCTTGTAGCTCCATCTATCGTTCAGATGGTGTACTCCACGGTGCCACGTAAAGTTTGAAATAGGGTACGCGTGAAAAAAGAGGATTCCTATGGAAGGCACTTTTATGACCTCGCTAAACAATATTTAGGGTTCATTGAGGTAAAGATTGATAGTATAGCACATCAGCAGGGTATTGTTAAAAAGGACGAAGAGTACGTTTTCGAACATTTAGTGTATGTACCATATAGAGGCCTCAATTTACAGCACATTCTCGAGTTTTACAAGTTACATGGAAGTTATAGTTACCGACTAATTGGTTAATAAGTACTAATAAACTAACGCATCTCAAGTCAGGCTTTGAAATTGCGAGCAATATTCACCGGGCGCGATATTACGGACGGGGGTATCAACTCGCCGTCCGCGCCGCTTAAATCCGGCATACCTCAGGGACTCCTTCGGGCCTCTTTTCTTTTCGGCTTATACCAATAATGCCGCCCGTGATATCCCAGCAAAAATAAAGCTTTTCGCAGATGCCTGTGTGCTTTAAAGTAGTCAACGCTTCCAGTGAGCAGGTTCATTTAAATAACTCTTTATCTAAGATTCAAGTTTGGTGCACAAAATGACAGATTACCTTTACCGCGGGAAAAAATGGGGCGATAACCACAACCCGCGAAACGGATCCATTAAATATCTAATACAACCTAGGCAATCAATTCTTGTCCTTTGTCTCGCAGTATACGCACCTTGGTCTTATCATCACATCCGATTCAAGATGGAACGAACCTGTGTCGTATACTGAGAAAAAGGCTTTGAAAATACTAAGCTACCCAAAACGGGCACTCGCTAAGGCATCCGGTGAACCTAAATGACTGCATGGGAAACGTACGTATTACCAATACAAGAATATTCATCGGCTGTCTTGGACCCGCACACGCAAGCTAACACAGATAAACTTGAATCAATACAGCAAAAAGCTGTAAAATTCATATTCAATGCCTAAAAGTAACACATCTCCGTCAGTTTTTTCTGGAGAGCGCTAAACTAGAAAACCTGGAATGGAGACGTTATCACGAAATAACGAAGCTGTTCTGTCTCATATATAATAATAACCTGGAAATACAAAAAACTAATTATACCAAACCAATTTTGCGCCACGAAACACGTGCCTCCAATCTTGAAAGAGTGACTGAGCCCCTATATACAGGCATCCTTTTTTTTTTTTTTTTGCACAAGCAGAGAGTGGAACAATTTACCACCACAGATTCTTGAAAGTGTCGATCTCAACTAGTTTCTTCGTGCGTTAGCTGTTTCACATGGCTCATAACCACACCTTCATATATATTACAGTGCGCTTCATTTTAATACCCACCTTGATCAGACTGATTGCTTGAGGTTGAATGCCTCGCTTCTGAACGATTCTTCAATGCTTCGATTCTGCATTGTCTCGCTTCTTAATATTGCCGACTTTATTTTTGCTACAGTTGGTATTTGAGTTCTTTTTTACTTTTTGCCCAAACAACATAGCCTAGTGGGCACTGTTTTTATAGTTTTTGTATTGTTTAGTGTATTATGGCCATTCTTGGGATTGTGGACCGTATTTAATGTCACTTCTCTTTTTTTCCTTTTGAATTTTCGCGCTTTCATTCAACACTATCTATCCTGCTGTACCTCCTACACAATGTTGCGTCCACTGCGCCACACACCTCTGCCCAAAGTCCGGCATTAGACTGGCAGTTTTTTCTGAAAATTAACAAATCTCTAAATAAATAAATCCACTTCCTCTTTTTTTAATATGCAACTCTCCAATTTAACGATATTAAAATATTAAGGGAAGTAAGTTAAAAGAGAGAGGTATAATGCTGAAAGGTGGGGAGGTTAAATTTTTTAGGAGCAAATGACCTTATTTGCACTGTGTTATGTTCACGGTAGCCGGAATAACAAGCGTACGTAACAGGGAACCGAGTTTATTACTTTCAAGAAAGGCATTTGCGCGCAGCACAGTCTAAATTGTCCGAGCGCTGGCTTTCGAGTCCGCTGTGGGCCATAAAAGGGGCGAGGAGCACAAAGGAGAGGCAACCAGTGCGCGGGCGCACTGATTTCCCCGACAGTCAGTCAGTCCCCAGGCGCGCGGCGTAAAGTATCGTGGGGGGGAGGTGGGGGCAAGGCGCATCCTTGAAACTGGCTGGAAGGGGGAGGGGGGAGTGATTATAAATTAAAAGAAAAGTGAGCCCCGTACCTCTCTCTCAGGGTGAGGACACTTCAACAGTAGCTCACGAGAGATGGGGGTAGAGAAGGGAATAAAAGGATAGGATCAAAAGGTAGAGACATAGAGAGAGAAGGAGGAGAAGCGAGGCGCAGGGACAGGGAGCGACGGAAGTAAGAAGACAGGAAAGATGGACACGGTTGCAGGAGTTCGAGGATGGGGCAACACAGGCGAGAGCTCTTGTCGGCGACAGGCTGGGGGCGGGAATTCCCGGTCTATAGCCCCTCCATGCGTTTTCCGGTAGAAGACGCGATGGCGGGGCTTTAAATTCAACAAGCCGATATTTCCGGCTGATACTTTTCTTTCTTTTTTTTTTTACGACGGCCGCCGTCCATTCAGGCATTCTCTGAAAATGGCGGGCGACCACTGGTTGTCCTTTGTGGAGTTTCCAGCAAAGCGAGGCGTCTTTTTTTACCTGGTATGACCTTTCAAGGCGGTTCTGGTAGAAGGGCTGAGATGTGTGTTCGCAGCTCGCAAGAAAACATGAGATTCTCCGGTACTTGGCCCGTCTCGCCCGTTGTAAGTTGCTTGAAAAAAAAAAAAACATGCAATGCGCCACTGTAATGCCCTCGTCTTTTGCATGAGCACGCTTTAGCTCTACCACGTAGCATTTGGCCCGTCCTTTTGTGGCTGGGTGGTTCGGAGCACATTTCACCACTGTGATGCAGTTGTCACTCGTAGGATTTCTGTATTTTGGCTGACACAAATGCGATTCCGTTGTTTGAAACTACCTTGTGGGGTAATCTGAATGTTTCGAACAACCGCAGGAAATTGATGGCACTGTCGATGTTGCTTTGTTCGCATGGCGAATTTGAACCCATTTGCTGTAGGCATCCGGAATTACCAGAAATGTCTGCCAAAGTGTGCTCGCTCTTCACCAGTCCGGTGCTGGATCTCGTGGCGGTGCGCGTTCATTTAAGTGGCGGGCTGTGCACTCTGCAGCTTTCTCGATGCCCTTGCCGATTATCGGCCACCACATGTAGCTGCGGGCGCACTTCATTGTGATCACGCCTTGGTGTCCAGCATGAATGAGAGCCATTGCTCGTTGTCTAAGTGGGCCATGAATGAAAACTCGTGATCCCAATTTGATACAACTACGATGACAGCTGTACTCCGTTTCTCTCTTGTGAAAAACGTTGAATTTCTCATTCTTGAAGTTTTGAACTCTGCCCTCCATCAGCACGTTGTAGAGCTTGAACAATGTCGGGTCATCTTGCACGGCCATTGTGACTTCGTCCGCTGTTAGTGGGGGGGGGGGCCTTGGTAGCGCTTTGAACATGAGCACGCAGCCAACTTGAGGTGTATCCTCAATGGTTTCGCTGAGGGGTAAGCGGCTCAGTGCGTTGGTATTGCCATGCTTGTTTCCAGGACAATACACGTCGTCGTAGTCTTATGCTGACATTTTAATGCACCATTGGATCATACGAGGCAAAAGTGTCTGTGTAATCGGCATCTGGGGCCCTAGGATACTCAGGAGTGGCCTTTGATCAGTCACTGAACAGTCACATGACTGCCCGCGATGTACTGATGAAAATGCATGGCTCCATAGACGATTCCCAGCCCTTCCTGATAAACCTGAGAATAATTTAGTTCCGCAAGGGTTAGCGTGCGGGAAGCAATTGCTATCGCAGGATTTTTCTGTTTGGTTTTAGTTTCGTTCCATCGCAAAAAGCTCCGTTCCGTTTCCGTTCCAGAGCGAAAAATAAAAGTTCCCTAACGGTTTGTAAAGGCTTTTATTTTTCTGCAAAACATCAAGTTAACTATAGAAACATAAGATTTCCCCTTTAAGAACCGGGGAGCGGACTAAAATAAATTACCACGTTCCTAAAGGAAGCGCAAATAGCTTTAGCGTGAATTCGTAACCAAATAACGCAAACCAGTGCTTTTCTAAGTTATTGTATTTGATTCTCTGAAGAGTGAATTAGAAATATTATGGAGAGGCTCAATGTTTTTTTTGTGTGTGTGAATTGTGCAAGCATGATCTCAGAAGCGGTATTCTCTTATATGCGCGACCACTGTTCTGATCAAGCAAACTTCAAGACGGCCTGTGTGAAAGGCATACGAAAGCCCGATTGAAATAATACAAACATCTATGGTTGCAACTTTTTTTTCCCACAATATATGGACACATCTTTACTTAGGGATGCCTGCCCTATAGATACGCACTGATTCTGTGCCCTCAGTTATGCAGAATATTGTTCACATTGCATGAACTCAGTTGTTCCGGATCGCCAAAGTTTTCCCGTGAAACGAAAAACGATAAAAATTATCTCATTGTTGCTCCGAAATGAAGTAATTATTGACGTTCCGGTTACGTAATCGTTTCGGTCAAAAATATCTTTTTTTTTTTCGTTTTCGTTTTCCGTTCTGTTCCGTCACTGGGCTACCGCTGCTTCTCTGCTTTGATCATCAATCTGGGAAAGCACTGCACCGACGTCGTAGCGCGAAGCGTCACACGCCAGAAGCAAAGGCCAGTGTCTCGTCATAGTGACTGTGCCTCACACTGTCACGCCAAGGCGTATCTTTGCAAGGATACACACTTGGACTTCTGCGACACGAGGGAGCAAGTGCTGGCCGATGTCTGATCGCAGGAACATTGCCCAATGCTCCTCAGGAGGCCATTGCAGGACAAAGACGACTTGCGCTTCTCGATATACAAGAATTCAAGACAATCGACCGTAACCAACGAGAGCGTCTCGGTGGAGAAACTGAGCGACGAGTCATCCACTAAATTGGTGTTGGCTGCACTCTTAAAAAAAAAAGGGGGGGGGGGGGGTCTGAACTGACTACCTTTTGGTGGTAGTCGTCTTGCTACACAAATGACTCTCTTTTTCGAGGTCAAACGTTCTTCAGACCAATGAATCCCTTCTTTGCAAACAGATAGTGTATGTATGGCTTGCAGAAGAGTAGTAAGTTGGGCCAGTTTGTAATGATCCATTACGTTACTGCGCAAGAACGGACGGGAACACAAAAGAGGAGTTTGTGACTAGTTTGTGACTTCTCTTTTGTGTTCCCGACGGTTTTTGAGCAGTTATGTAATGTTATGCATGGCTCCCAACGCAGGAGTCTACATGAATACCCCATAATTTCCAGTAAGTATCTATTGGTAGTCAAGGTGACCACTTTCAAAGATAACGCCGACCCCCACTCGATGAGACATACTAAATATAGGAACAGCGCAATCTAAATGTAGTTACGGAAGCGAAAAAACAAGGACAGAAAAGACCGCTGTTTTCATTTCCGTAGTTACGCAGTAACTATACTTCTAGGTTGCGCTGTTCCTACATTCAGTTATGTCCTACCAACTTGCTCAAGTTTCCCCGCTTCAATGAGACATTCTCAAACAAATAATGCGCTCACTTGTACTTTTGATTGATGTTGATGAAACTTGCTGAGTTTTTCGGGTGATACAAAAGTATCTCCTCGCCTTCACATGGACCACTGTTGCCAAAGTTAGCCGATTTACACAAAACCAGGCGGGTATGCTTGAATTCATTCAATTATTTCTTCGTAGTATCAACTTCCAAGACAAGCACGCTCCATGAATGACGATGACACGAACGCAGATCAAAGCAGCAATTCAATTACACAAAGTATAAATCGTCTACTTCAGGTGCAT